TAAACAAATTACCTGTTGAACAAAAGACCAATAACAAGCTATCTTCACCTCATTAGTTGAGCCATAAATGATTTTTCCAGAAAGGTTTTCAAAGGCACAAAGAAATACACAGCATTAATTACATGATATTTGACTTCAGAGACATTTTTAAAGAACCAATGATGAAAATTCTCACAACGAATAATGACTATAGGGCCAAACAAAGTCTCCCACTAACATGCTGACTGCTATGCGAGTTTGTAAGAAAATCTCCTTTAGGCCATAAGTGCTGCTACACCATCCATCTATTGTTTCTGACTGTAGGAGTTTAGAACATCTTGAATGAAACATTTTAGGATATGCCTTCAGTTTACAATCTTTCCTCAAGAACTGAAGTACCTAAGAAAGGGTACGAGATTCGAAAATTATTTCTTCTTTTCCAAATATTTTTTCTGTTGTGACAAATAGTTGAATTTTTTTTACGTGTGTTCAAATTGTTACCCCAACAAGCAAAGTCTAAAAGAAAAATGGAAGGATAATTTTTAAATGAATCCTATAGCACTGGAGAAGAAGCTCCAGTGCTATTGCAAAGCTTACAAAAATTCGAAAAGTAGCAATGAGAAACAGTCAAGATTTTTCAGAAATTTAATTATAAATGAAATTAAATCTTCAGATTCCGATTCGAATACTGATAAATGCAGCGATAATAAATGTGGTGTAGATATTACTGGACATATTTTATAAGAATTGGTTGTTTAGGGAAAAAGAAAATTTGATACCAAAGAAAGCACAATATAGTTTAGTGAAGACAATGAATTTAGCTGTCAGCAACAATAATTTTTGTTTGTTTTTTTCAACAATCAGTTTTTCAAATACCTACTTTACTCCATAAGTACTCACAGAACTGTCACCCAGATACAGATGACGGGGTCTAATCAGAATTTTTGCCATCACCCGAATATAGGCGACATGGCAGTCAAAGTGTTAAAAGGTATCCAATTTCTGCTTCATAAACCTAACAACATATAAGTCTGGATTGCCATATAAAAAGATTAACCTTTCATAGAAGTTATCAAACTATTTCATTTCAATTATATGTCACAACCAAATTACTAGAAGAAGATAAACATCCAACAGTCAAAGCCCTCCAAAGTATCCTTCCAAAAAAACAATAATAGTTTCAAATTAGTTTACCATAAATATATTTAATCCCAAACGTTCCATGTTCTACACGCAATTTTAACTGCAATGGATTTCCTTACTAACTGTATGGCTCGGTTTAGTTTGGTTTATTTAATTACGGAAAAGCACACTAGGGCTACCTGCCTAAGGGGAGGGATGCCTTCGTAGAGGACTGGGAAGCGAAACTGGCTCGTATACACGTTACACATGGGGAAAAACCACAAAAACACCCACGTTGCCAGCCTGTTCGTGGGATTCAAACTACCAGTGTTCGACGACTTTACTGCTCGGCCACTGGTGGGCCCTGTATGGCTCGATCATGAGTTTTACATTGCCTTAATCGAGACAATACACATTATAAGTATGATAGCTGTAGAGCTGAATGCAAGCATTTTGAAAACTTCCCATAATGCACGCTACAGTAGATAACTTTCAGCTGAACTAGAAACAGATTTTACAAATATTAATAAAAAGTATAACATGTAACCATAATCAGATTTTGTTTAAATATAAAATGATGTAAAGCAATTAAGTTTAATAAAATATTATGCCTTTTACTTAACTGAATTATTTAATATATGCAAGGCATATGAGGCAATTTGCCTCAGCTCCATCCTATTTCTGATTAAGAACACATGAGGACATGAAATCTGAGATTCTTGTAACCCTCTTCTCCAACCACCATCCTCTTGGAAAGACTTCTGAATCACAGACATAAATAAATCTCTACAAGAACATTCATGTTTGGTTTGAGATTTAAATTCTGTGCCAACAAATGATAAATGCAGTCACCTTCAGTTAAACAATATACTACGAGAACTGCTTCTGCAGAATTAATACAGTACAAAGTCCGAAATCCAGACTGGTCGTGACTTCGATTCCGGATTTGGGATCTTTCTGGATAATAGATCATCCATTTAAATCTGGTAAGATGGCATGCAGAAATTATACAATTAAAAATATGAAATCGTAATTTATGAAATAAAGAACAATTATGATCTAAACGGTATCAAAATTTACAAAAAAAAAGGCTTAATATTTATTAAACATTAAAATTTCTTTCTTAAACTTTATTAAACATTTCTTTCAATGTAAGTTGTTAAAGATGCTTCCACAAAAAAATTCAAAAAGTTCCTTTTTCTTGTGTCATATACAGTGAACTTTCCAATGCCATACTCCTCTCATAATTTTGAGGCAGATATGCCTTTATTTATTTTTTGCAGCAATTCCACTTTTTGTTTAATGGGCATCGAAACATGGTTTCACTTTTTTATCGCCCACATTCCTTTCGAAACTCTTTTCGACATAATCTAAAGTTTAAGCTTAGTTTTTATAAAATTGCTGTAATAATAACAGTCTGCAAAAAATAATAAGCTGGATAAAATTAGAAGATCAGGGAGCAGTGCAGCCTGCTACGCTAATTGAAATGCCTTAGAATTGGTAAAGATAATTTCAGCCTAGCTTAATAGCATTTGTTATACATTACTGGCTGTGTATCACAAGTTGGCGATGAAAGCCAAGTTGTTTCGCTAAATTTTCTCTTGCTCCTATTGCGTGCTGAATTAAGCTTGAATTGTATTAGTTTAGTTATTTACTATACCTACGTTTATTTCTTGCACATGCTTCAAACAAATCAAAGTCCTGAATAAATAAACTCCCACATATATTTAAGGCTTTATATAGGACCGCTGCATGATACCGCCTGGTGCAGTCTCTACGAGTCCTAAATTCTGCTACAAAAGTTCTAAATTTTCATCATGTCTAAACTTTGGATCCCAGTGCTTTCCCTAAATCATAAAAACTTCTCATCCCTTAATTTTGCCCCTCGGTGCTTCCCCAAATTCCAAAAATTTCATCTTCCCTATATTCTACCACCATTTCTGGGTTTATGGAGAATAACATATCAGTTATTCTTAATTAAAATAGCACTAAATGTAATCTTTTGGCCTGTGAGTTTAATTAACAAAATCTATTTTTAGCATATAAAAAGAAATTTTTGTTTAATTTTTCCTCGGCAAAAATTTTTAGAGCTTTTAAAAATCTATAATCATCGCCAAGCGTAATATTAGCAGAAAAGGTTGCTTGTTATTCAATTACTAATATAAAAAAATCTGATGTGTACACCACATTACTTCCTTGTACGGAATATTAAATTATACGCATTTTTTCTTGAATTTCATTTAAACTTATTGGATAGAATTAAATATACCTCGCCGACAGCGCATAAACCACAATAGAATAAATGCATTCTTTAAAATTCCCTCTAGTATTTGTTTACCATAGTGACACTCTGGCGCTAGATTCACTTAACAGTATTATATTTCGTTCATATTATAACTCATAATGCACAAAATTTATATCATTTAAAGAATAGAATTATCTAATCGTTGCCACATGTTCTATTCAAATGCTATAATAAAACTAGAATGATGTATAAAAGAAACAAAAGAAAAAAGAAACAGTTTTTCACAGACGATTCAGTATTTCTCATTCAATTAATTCAGTTCTCACTTCACGAGAAGGCAAAAATACATAAAAACTCAAAATATCTATAATAAAAATTACAAAGTAAATCTTAAACACTTATTTCCTCGAAAAAATTCCAGAAAGTATTAAGCATGATTTAATTGGCAATAATAACAAATGAGGGCATTATCTTTGTTGTTGCGAAGCTAAGTTTCTCTAGATTGGCAACAAATCCACTAGTCGGCTGTTTCAAATGTAAACAATCAATGGCTGCCATAAAAAAAAGGCTTAACGGCACTTAAACAACTTTAAAATTGTTGATAATTCTAAAAATATTGCATACAGATTTACTAAAGGCATAAAAACCTTAATCAGAAGATAAAAACAACATAATTCAATCATTTTTAAAGCGAAAAATGTACAATTTACAAACATATACTAGTCAAGAAACTGAGATCACTGAGATGTGTAACAGAGTGGATATATATATAAAATATATTTATATACGTTTAGTGAGGCCAATTGCAACCAAAATACGAGGTGCACATCTACATGTTATAGCAGTCCTATATACAAAATTTCAACGTTCTGAGGCTACTCGTTTTTGAGTTATGCGAGATACGTACGTACATACATTCGTACAGACGCCACAAAAAATTCTCTTCAGAATTAATTTTAAAGCAGTTTTATAACTTTTTTGGAGGAAACGAGTCTTTTATTCTGTCCTTACGTACAAGTATAACACAAAAACATCGTTAAATTGCATTCGATAGCAGTCAAGATTGATATTTTCGTTGAAATATGCTGCCTGAAACTTTCGCGATTACAAGACTTCCTTTTTACTTCCTACCAGGAAGTAAAACATTTAGACATCACAGCATGAGTTATTACTGAAGCTGTCATGTATTGATAAACATGCGGTGATGAAAACTGAGTCGTTTAATTAATTGTCACAGCATTGTTTAATATTATATATCAAACAATGCTGTGATGTCTAAACGTTATTTAGTGCCTAAGTGAAATTAAGAATCGGAATTTTTAAGTGAAAGTCTCCACATGTTTTATTATGTAAGGAAAAATCAGATAAGCATGCGTAAAGCATTAATTAAAAAAAAATCCGGACATCCAGATTTCAGACTTTGTACACTGTAATACATTAACAGGTAAATAAAATTTACTAAGATCAACCATAAAATGAAAATTAAAAAATTTCCAGTTGCATGATACACATATCTCCCCATTTGTTGCAGTGTTTAACAAATTTAGGATTAGTTGCAAAGTGTGTGACTGAGTGCATTTGTTACAGTGTCCAGTACAGCGTCAGAGTGTCCTTTAATAAATTTTATGTGAGAAATCAAGAAACAGATACAGACTTTCAGAAAAACAGGATATTTAATAAAATGTAATTTCTGCAATGCATTAATTTAATTTTACATTATTACATTAACTAAACGAATTAACAACAAAACCTTCATCTCCTTCCGACAATTATCAATAATGATTCTGAATGAAAACATGATGACTGTATTTTCATTTCATTTGTACAAAAAGCTATATAATCAAAAATACATTCATGCACTTGCTCTTTAAGAACCTTTACATAGTTATTTTAATACATTTTAATATTATATATCAAACAATGTTTTTCACAACTCCATATCACAGGCTATATTTAATTTTTATGTCTATGGAACATAAACCCCATAAACATAATTCAAAGTACTGTTTAAATGTAAATTATGCTTTCAAGTACATAAATTAAAATTTTTATTTTTTGAGAAAAAAAGTTTATTATACACAAATAAAGAATATGAAATTACGGCATATATACACACAAACAAACACAGGTAATTAAATATGTGTACACACACACACACATATATATATATATTTATTTAATTTTACCAAGAAATATTTGTTCAACATTCAACATGATTAACCTTAACTACATCTTTTGGCAATTTAAAAGTACATATATACAAAATGAAAAAATAATCTGCTGTTTACAAAGCATGAGAGGAAGCATGCTGTTTGCAAAGAGAGATCAGTAAAATATAGAAATTTCTTTCAGCTGCTCTAAGCTCACTGCATGCAAACAGATGATTAATGTTCAATAATGATATGCCACTGGCTTACAAGCCACTTTATTAACTGATGCTACATGATTCAGAATTAAATGGATAAAAAAAGTCAGCACCAATTCGCCAGAACTTGTGATGGCAGGCTTATAAGAAGAAAATGTATTTTTATCACAGACTAAATTCCCTTTCAATCAAATATTTCCTTCACATAAGAATAAGGAAAGTACCCAACCTGCAAGTAAAAATTGACAGAATAAGAGCACAGTTTTAATATTAATGAAATAATAATATACAGGAAACTTTTGATAATCTATGACCACTTAGATTTAGTCAGTAATCCACACTTGTGTTTGAATGTAAATAAATAAAATTTCAATTCTCATGAAATTCAGCATAGCAAACTTACAAGAATTTTCTTTAATATATATACATGCAAATAATTTTTTCACAAAAATACTCTATATTTACTGTATATTCTGATTGAAGAAGTAAATTTATTTTGTTACTGAAATTCTTTGATATTTTCTGCATGTGCATCACTGCTCCCATTTTATAATAAACATGAACCATAACTCATCTCAATTTTTTTAAAGACAAATTCCTCATTTTGGATATATATTCTGTTGTTTTAAATTAATCTTGAATTTATGTGGTTAGCATGGGTTAGGAATTTATCTCTGCATAAGTTTTCCTGCAGTGAATTTGAAAATACATGCATCTTGCAGCTGCTTCATATCAATAGTGAATATGGATAGATTATTAAACATAGTACTTCAAGAGATTTTTTGGCATAAACTGAAGAAAATGGTAAAGAAAAATGTGCTAAAGAATCCAAAACAATTAATAAATCCAAAATTCAATTTAAGAACTTGAAGATTAACTGCAAACATTTTTTGTTATTAATCCAACTGTACATATGCAAGACATAATAGCAGAAATGCCAAACGGAAAGGTTAAGATATAAAAATTACTCTGAAAGCAATTTAGTTTTACATTAAAAATTCTGTAATAATAATTTTAGAAAAGAGTTCTTTAGTTCCTTAATATATCTGCCCATAATTTCTCCATTTTAAACAATATTTCATTCTATACTGATATTACTAATATTATTTCCACTGTAAATAACTGTATTTATAAAATATCATTATATTTCATTCTATAAATTTTAATTAGGTTAATTCTTAAAATAAGGATATGCTTTGAGAGCTACTTGTTTACAAACAATTAAAATGTAATGCCAAACTTTGAAATGAGAAAAGTGTAAAGAAAACCCAGGTCCATAATTTGTTAAATTGTCTAATCTGAAGCCCTTGATTCCAAGGTGTGTGGATTATCAGAATCCTATGGTATTATTCAAAAAATGTCATGCCTGAAATTTAATAAAGAACTGTGCAAATTTTAGAACATTCAAATAAAAACACATTTTAGAACTTAACCAATACAGACATATACAGAATGAAATTAAAAGTGGCCACGATGAAATAGAGTTATACACTCATTCTTGTGATATAACATGAACAACATATTTTGGTATATGGTAAAAAAAAATCCACACCTTATTTGCCAATAATATCGTAACACAAAGATATGACTCAAATCAATTATGACAATTATATCAACATGATATATAGAAATGATATATTGAATAAGAATATTAGCAACATGATATATAGAACAAGAATAATAGCAACCTGATATACAGAATAAGAATAATATCAACATGATATTCAACAGAAAAATAATTTATAGATATATCTAGACATTTATTCTAATTTGATTATATTTTAATAAGCAAGGCTATTCTCAGATATAATAAACCATACACACTTTTCAAGATAGTTTTATCCAACAATTCAGGGAATTTTCCCATTTAAAAAGATCAGCACTGCTTTACAAATTATCATAAAAAGAATGGTAAAATGAAACACAAATTGCAAAAACAGAAATAAAGTTCAAAGCTAATATAAACATATTTTTATTGTGCAAGGACTAGAACAACCATTTTTCTTGTAGCTTTGGTTTCAGTTTAAAGAGAAAATTTGTCTTCTCTTAAAGGGTCACATGAAGGTGCAGAAATCTAAATTTGGTTAATAAGCAAGCAGTGCTCCCACTGCTTACTTATTAACCAAACTTAGATGTTATGTTTTGGGATTTCTAAATTGTTGCAAAGCAGACGAGAAGTACCATCATCTTATGCAAAATCCACATATTTTGGTGCCATTCTCGTATTATTTAAACCAATTACAAGTTGCTTTCTAGCCAGAAAATTTGCTTGCACATCTCAGTCATACTTCTTTCACACTTGTAACAAAATTTAATGAGCCCATCTTGTTCTAAATCATCCTTTTCCATTAACTTCTTGAATCATAAAACACAGCAACATGACATTAAAAAGTATGAAGAGTACAAGCACCCACTGCCTCATATAAAAGTAATAAATTCTTTTTTTTCCCCACAAAAGAATGTAGGTAGCAGCATCTGTAAATAAAAACAGAAAACCTATGCAACTACGCATTTTTTACCCAAAGCAACCTACGCAATTTTTGTCTTCTGGGTGACTTCTAAACTCTAAAATAGATGGCAAATTAGCTCTTTGCATTCTACTAATAAAAGACTACAGCTCAGAACTGTAGGTTAATATGCATTTGTTTAAAGACTGCAATTCACGGTTCATCTGGGCACAATACTTGAATTGTTAAGTATACTCCCATTTCTCAAATTAACAGAGACATCAGAAGGGTCTTTACTCTTATAAATTTAACTAAATAAGACTTATTTAGTTTAACTTTATTAAATTATACACCAAAATCTTATTTAATTTAACTTAATTGAATTAAATAAGATTGTGGCAATTTTCATGACATATTTCATTTGACTTCCCTCTCAGTGGTGATTTTTCAAACTTAGTATTACTGATATGATATATGAGTCAACTAGCTGGCAAGCAAAAACAGCCACTTTTCATGATAATTTCAAAACAGGAGATTTCTTTGGCATACAGTGCAATCACCTTAACAAATGTAGCAATTTAATACATTTTACCCGGAAGTAAAAAAATGTATACTATATAACACACATATTTAAAATTCCAAAGGGAAAAGAAAAAATAGGGGGAGATATTGAAAAGAAAGTTTAACAGGAAAATATAGTTCAGAGATACAAGAGTACAAGCAAAAGAAAAATTAAATAAGGTTAAAGCTGAAAAACCTATAACATTTGGCATAATATAAAATAAAAAAAAAAACATGCAAAAATTAGAAAATTTATACAGGTTTCTGAACCAAAAAAACAAATTCATTACATTTTCATCTATCTGCCCCTTCCACCACCCCTTCTGGTTCCCAGCTTTGCTCAGAACAGCTACTCGATCACCTTTATGAAGGGACAGCATATTAGGAGCATTACCTTGAAAATCATACAATGCTTCTGCATATCCTATAATACCTGTTTAAAACAAAATCAAGTCAAATATCAATAATTATTTTAAAAATGTAAAAGTGCAAATATTCTTCAAGACACAGAAACTACAACAGAATAATCTAGGTTATCACCAATCAACTATATAACAAGTTTTAAAAAATGTATACTTACTTTCATTGTTGAATCCTGCAATTGCTTTTTTGTACGGAATCATAAGAGTCACATTTAAGCCATTAAAACTTTCAGCTAAGCTATTTTCTTTATACCAATTAATTAGCTCCTATAAAAAAAAAAAAAGAAGGACAGACATTGATAAATATGTTGCAAAAATTTTAAAATGTAACATAATATAATAAAAGAACATTCTTATTTTAATATTAGTCACTCTAAAATACACTCTCAGCCAAAAATAATGTTTTGTTTGGAAATAATACATGTTTGGAATTTGTTTGGAAATAATGTTTTTAAATTACGTATATTGAATTAAAATCGCAATTAAATCCACATGCTTCTGTTACTTAACAAACTTCAAGAAAGAAAAGACAATTCAATGACCTATTTCTAAAGTTACCATATATTCTGGTGTATAATGTGCACCTATTATAATTTCAAATTATAATTTTTTAATTTTTAGATATATTCGGCACATAATGCACATCCTTTTCTTCATGAAGAAACCTGAAAAATAAATGCGCTGTGCTTTTATTTTTCTTTTAATCTTTTGAAGACATTCGAATGAAGGTTTTTTTTTTTTTCAGGCTTTCGAGCAATGGTATACAGAATCGATAAGCAATAAGGGGAACAATATGTGTGTATGGGGAATTGATTGAGGGAGTAAATAATTCTGCAATGTAGGTGGGTTGTATTAAATGCAGGTGTGTTTTGAAAATGTTACTTTAGGTTTTGAGAAAAGGGGACATAGTTTGGGGTAATAATGCACTTCTGACCCAAATGAATTCACGGAATTAGGAGTCGGACATTTTCTCTTTCTGTAGTCATTTGACACTGTAATTTTGAAGTGAGCATCGAAGACTTTAGTAAATCACATTTGCTTTGAGTTAAAATATAGTTGATCTAGTGTTCTTTTTAGTAGTAAATATGGCACTTGCCAAACGAAACTCTGGTTTCAGATGTTAATAGTCATCAGCATCAAAATGACTTATCCTAAAAGAAAGTGTTGCAAATGGGTCCTAGAAAATTGGCTGAACACATTAATTAAAAAAAAAAAAAACTCCACATGTTTATTGGCCTTAAAGTGGGCAAATGAAAGTGAAAAAATGGACAGTACAAAATTGTCTTTATTTTTAAAAGAAAGATGATGCTTAAAATTTAATTTCCCAAATGGTGTTTTCATTCATGTTCATGAGAAAGAACAGATGGCTGAAAATGGTGTAAACTGCGGATATAGAAATGTTTGGCAAGAACATCCAGGGTTCGCACACATTTCTGCACACGGAAATTAAGTACTTTTAAGGACTTTTAAGGACCATTAATGAAAAAAATTAAGGACCTATGAGCAAATGGGAACTGAATAAATTCAATTAAAAATATTATTCTATGCCTGAATTTCACTTTGGCAATACCCTCCTAAAAATAAAATAGATCCCTAAGTAGTATGCATTATTATAAAACATGAATTAACATAATTATTGATACGTTTGAGAATAAAATAAACTTTATGCAATTTATCAAGTAGCATTAAATATTTTACACTTATAATAGTTGCACATATTTGAAAGAAGATAAGTGAGATTTACATTTTACTAATAGTTAGCTTTATGTTGATTTTTTTTTTTTATGTCTCATTTTGTCACATACTTGGTCAGTCTAGAGCAGAGGTTCTCAACCAGTGGTATGCATGAAAAAAATAGGTGGTACACAAAGAAGCAAAGTATTTTTAACTATTAATTTTTAAATTAAAAACATACAGATTGAGTTTTTTCTCTAACACTCGTAAATCTGAGCTTTGTTCAAGAGTGGTGGTGGTAGTAGTACTTTGTATGGGTGGTACTAAAGGTTTTCAATTTTTGTTTAGATGGTACACGTTAGTCAAAAGGTTGAGAACCACTGGTCTAGAGGTTTAGTAAATAGCAGGTAGATTTTATGTCAAACAGCATAGGTTAAAATGAGAAGTCAGATCATAATCAGCATGATTCATAACTAGACTGAATGTTATCACCGCTGCTGCTTGTCTAGAGAGAGACCTGCTGATTAGAACAAACATGAAGGGCCTGATGTAGGCATGGTTGGCAAGTGTTGAAAGTTAGTCAGGCTCTGTTTGATGCAGTTAGTGTCATAGCTTTGTGTAGAGTTCCAGAGGTTGTAACCCAGTTAATATACTTTCAGGTTTTAATAAGCCATTAAAGTACCAGAGGTGATAAGTTGTTTTGTATTATTTTAAGTCTCACTAGATGCAAAGAAAGTTTTACTTGAATTTCTACATTTTTGTGTTTTATCTTGTGACCACAGTGAGTATTAATGAAAGGCAATAACTCACTTTAATATGTAGAGATAATTTTTAAGAGAAAGCAGTTCGCTATAACTAATTAAATTAGGTAAATAGGTAACCTTAGTCATTATGGATTTACATGGCCACTATTAAATTCTATTATTTTTAAATATTTGTTAAAAAAGCTCTAATAAAATTTCAGTTTAAAATACATGTAATTTATGACACTTATTTTTAAACGATATTAGAATAGTTACATATTAAAAGCTACAAAACATTTATGTTTTACAACAACACTCAACAAAATATTTATCCATCATTTTAATTTGAAGCCTTTCCAAAAATTTTGGCTAGTTTATATCGATTTCATTCTCTTTAAGCATCTTTTCTAACAATAATTCGAGATTTGTCTCAATATGCAAACCAATGCTGTCGCTAGTTTCTGCATGCTTTATCTCCTAACTTGTCAACCTCTCCACAATGTACCTATGAGGGTTTACTTGATCTGGTAAAAGTTAAATAGTCCAAAACCCCTGATAGATGTTAAGCAAATTATCACTATGTCTGAAAGTAACTACAATATCAGACAAAGGTTTAAATAAGCCTCTTATTTAAAAAGAACTTAGAACAAACTTAGCATGTTCTGATGCTAATAAAGTCAATTACATCTCACGGTGATGTAATTAAACAAGAACAGTCAAATTCAAACTAAAATGTGGAAAAAGAAGATTATACAATTTAATTTTAATTTAATCTGGCTCCATAACTCTATCATATGAAGAAACAGAAATGGAAAATTACAGTAAAGGCTGAAATCATAAACAATTGGGTAATTTACATAATAATTGCACATATCTTTGAAGAATAATTTTCTTTATGTATTCAGTTTCTTTCTTCAGCATGTTCCCTTTTTTGGAATTTTTGGATTTAACTAAGGATTTCTGTTTTTCTAAAAAACACTAAATGCATTTAGAATGTATAGAAAAAGTGACTAATTTAATTTCTTTCGTAATATGAAATTCAGAAGAAATATGAAATATATATGGTAAAGGCCGGTTACAGAGCTGATGTGGCAGAATTTTTAGAATTTAGTGACACACCAAACAACAAAATTTAGAAATAGCAAAACTTTTAGAATTTAGAGCAAGCATTGGAAGCAGAATTTAGAAAAGCACTATGCAGTCGAATTTAGGATCCATAGAGATTGCATCAGATGGGAAAATGCCTAGTGTCAGCTCTGTGTATGATGCCATTAAGACATATTAGATAGATCTTTTAAATTGTAAGTTTTCAATTTCTTTATTAATAAAAAAATCCCTTTCTCCAAGTGATAAGATTAGAACCATTTTTGATATTTTCCATGCTTGTGTCTAGTGAAAAGTAGAGAACATAAAGGGAAGATTAACATGTTAAGAAAAAGATTCTAGTACCAGGAGTAAAACATTCAAATATTATGTCTTCATTGTTCTCCCAAAAGTAAGAAATTCATCGCAAACTTCCTGTAAAATACATCCATTACACGTTGATACCATGGAGACATTTTTCATTTTGTCACCTATTTCTCGAATCTTCTAGAATTGTGGGTCTATAAATTTTGCCTTCAAATCCTTCTAAATTTTCCAAGCCGCAATGTCAAAAATAGTAAAGAAAAATTATCCCAAACAATTCTGTAACAGCAAAAAGCCAGAAATATTTTGAAAAAAAAGGGGGGGATGGAAAAAGGTGTAAAATTAATTTTATAGAGAAAACTGATGCATATTCTGAGAATTTGGAATATTTTGAGACAATTACATGGAAAAAATTCAAAAGAAGACATTTTTAATTAATTACATAGCTAATTTTGCTTTTGATAAGAGCTGTTTTGTAAATTATGCTTTATAGCATTATACCTTGTTTATTTTACAAATTCAAAATATTGTATAATAAGTTGCTAAAATGAAACTTCATAATATGACAGCAAAAAATAAAAATGTTTTAATGTTATTTTTTAAATATAGTTCCAATATATTACCATTATTTTAATGAAATTTATCAATGTTATGATATTTTTAAAAAATGATCGAAAAATTCTCAGATTTTGGAATTAAAATTTTTTTATAGAAACTGATCTTAAAATTCACGCCAAAATGTTGATAAGTCTGCCACATTTAGAACCGTTTAATAAAAGAATTCACACCCCCAAAATCGAAAAGTTGTTTAAGAGTTCTTTATTAGAAAAAACGAATTTCGAAATGCTTATGTTTCACTTCGTCGCTTTAGAAACTTCGAGTATCCCATCATTATATTAGAAATAGAAACATGACCCATGTACATGACCTAAAGCCCATGAACCTATTGAAAAGATAACCATATACATCAGTGAATTGCAAAAAATATTCCTCCAAAATGCTAATTCTACTCAAAATGGCAGTCGTAAAAACAGAAATTTCAGATGATTAAAATTAAAGACCTTCTACTGATTTTGGCCAAAATTAAGGACTTTTAAGGACCAAAAATTGATTCCAAAAAAATTTAAGGACTTTTAAGGACTCTTAAGGATCGTACAAACCCTGACATCCTGTTGCCTCAAAGAATAAAACAAAGATATTGTCAAAAGATTACAACACAGATATGGCAGCCATTCCAGACAGATTAACACCATTACTTCAGCTTTACTTAGATGTGTATACCAATAAACTATTCAAAGAAAAATTTGAAACAACAGTACAATTAGCATATGTTAATGAGTGGGTGTTAAAAAGTTGAAAAATATTTACAAAAAGAGGCAAATGCATCATGCCAGTCTAGAAATAGTGTGTGAGTGGCTAATGAAAGCATAGAATTAAATTAAAGAAAAATTTACAAAAATTATATGTAGTATATCTAACAATTTTAATGGAATGGAATAATTATTTATTTGTGGATGTGAGCAAGAGTAATGGTGATGATGAAACAGAATTCAATTATACGAGTATTATTCAAGATATAGCAGACGATGAATATGATGAATGTTATCCAATAACTAAAAATTTTTAAGTTCAAAAGGTACGTCATTTCTTTTGATTAAAGAGTGTAGAAAATATAATTTCTGTATGCTAATCTTTTCCTTATTTTTAAAACTATAATCTTTATATCTGACATAAAAAACACACCATAAATTTCAATCTTCCTTTTTGTATTAAAAGTGCACATTATATGCCAGAATACATGGTACTTAAAATCTAAGATTCTTCATCCAAAAGTTTTCATTTAAAAGATAAATGTTTTTTGAATATGAAAAAGAATTAATCACTAGAGCTGGCATAACTTCAATAAAATGTTTAGTATAATACTTCTGAAGACTACACATAAGCTGTAAATGTGAAAAATTACAAAAATTGAAACACATATGTAGTTGAGAAAACAGAAACAGCTTTGACATAATAATACAAAATGGAACTCTAAGCAGCATCTGTTGATTAAAAGGTTAATGAGAAGCAATCAAGAATCAAGTTCTGTCAAGGTTAAGAGTAAATATGGATTAGAATTTGGAATAATAATTATAACAGGGGTATTTTTATGGATGTGAAAAGCCTCTAGCAAATCAATTTTGCCAATCGAAGATTTTTTAAATATCTGTGGCTACAAAAAGCTGCATCATATCTACTTGGAAAGCAAGGGCAGCAACTGTAACAATTTTTTTACCATATCTGGAGAATTAACTTCTTAACTAGCAATAAAATTTTAGGTAATGGATCACAGGTGTGAGGTAGTGCAGTAAGTTCAGACAGATTGAAAACAAAGCAAAAGAGTGATCATTAAGGCTATTAAATGCTAACAACCTACACGTTGGTAGTCACTGAAGTTTAATCCAAGACTCACCAGTTTGAGGGACTAGAGTGAATTTAGATACAACACTTTTAAGAATAAAATTAAACCTAAGTACATCAGGTGCACATCCAAGCAGCTGGTCACTAGTTACCTGCAGGTTGCTTACAGAAGAACTAAGTCTTGATTACCAGTAAATTCTCACTCTTACAGTCAACATATAAAATGACTTGTATGAGTCAGTGCAATAAATTTAGGTAAATTATTAAAAATTAATGAAAACTAAAGACCTAGTTGACTGTACTGGAAAGACATTGGTAACTATCAAACCTATGATCACAAATATCTTTTAAAGCCATCTATCACCAAGATAGGTCAGTGCAATGCTATTACAATGGCAACATTTGCTAAAGCAAATGGACGATGCTTGATACCAAACATAACAAAATGTAACTGTAATGTAATGCTCCAAAAATTTTTAAAGACTCTGCTAACAATATTTCTAATGTTCAAAACTTAGGAGTTTAAAAAAAAAAAAATGCAGTTGAACAACACAAAATTAGGTATCTAGTTGGTTTGAGAAATTTATCAGCAATAAGTTATGGGTGAATAGCAGCACAAATACCTTAAAATTAACAGATATATAATCTATTTTTAAATGCATTATAGCTTACTGATTTTCCAAAAAGCTCTTTATTAAAAAAAGATTATGTCACATGCACAAGCTTTCTTAAGTTACAGAAAAACATGTAATTTCAGAAATGAATTAAACAGTTCAAGAGAAGTTCCAATACTTACAACTATAGATTTGAAGTATTTTGTTTCAGATAAGTAAAACTGTTGACCATTATCTGCTGAGCAGACACGCATATGCTTCACTTGATTTTGATAGCTATGAATTATTTAATAAAAAATAAACATATAATTTTACAATCAAACACTAAGTAACTGTTACTTTACATAAAATTTCAGTTAACCCACTTATTATTAAAAAACGGTAGAAATGAATAAAAAAATATTAATTTACAGAAGTCATTCAATAATTTATAAAATGGCAGCATAGAACTTCAACAAAATCTAAGATATAAGTAATACATAAAATACAAATTACGTAAAAATAAATAAATTTGAATTATTATTTTTGAGCTAGCCCCCCCCCCCCCCAAAAAAAAAACTTGCTGAATCAAAAATAAATGTTTCTTTAGATTACTTGTATTAGACATTTTTTCTTTTGTACATTATGTTTTCAGAAAATATGCACATGTAAACAAATTTACATAGATTATATCGTATTAAATTTAAACATTAAAATATCATACTTAATACTGATGGCGTATGACCCATTCTGCTTTGGACTAATCCTTAGCAGGAATGTTCCACTTGGCAATTCTTCTAGCTTCTTTGTTGCAGTGTCTCGATCCATAACACCAGCAAACCTAAAATTTATTTACAGTTCTTTTAGAAAAATATAAAAATAGGTAAAACTTCGGAAACACTCAATGTTTATACATTCTATTACCAATGAATAATAAAACATAAAGCATTTACCTATAAATAAATAGTAATATAATATCAGAACTTACCAATCATGACCCTCTAACATAGTATTAATGTAATCTGGGGAAGGAATGGCACAAATGGCAGCATTATTTCTTGAAGTAAAAGGGTTTTCATATGACGGTGGCCTCTTCTGCAAAACATTACATTATTTTTTAAATATAAAAATGCAAAAAAAATTTCACAAATATTTACAAACCATTTCCCTACAGACATTTTAACTGAATATTTATTACCTCAACATGATCAGGTGGAAAGCGACCTGATTTACCAGTTCTAGCAACATAACCCTGCAAAAAAAAAGTTTTCAAATACTTTAGATATTTTTGCAACGTACAAGATTAGTAAAAATAAAATTTTTATAACTATACTGAGGATTAAACATGAAAACCATTTTTTACAAAATGATACCTACTTCCCAACACATATTATTAATCTGTTTTGTTACATAAATTTCATCATCACTGTCAAAGGAGAGATGATCAGGTGGAGGACCATGATATGGAAACCTTGCTATCACTTTAACTAAAGGGGGAAAAAATCACATATATTGAAAATAGATCGCCATGTTGGTAACAAGACAATGCAAAAGATTTTTAGTGTAATACTATTATTTTTTCAGGGTTATGAACATTCTTTTGATTAAAATAACATTATAAAAATTGTCATTTATTAAATTATAAAGGCAGATTAAACATTGCACTGATAAGTCTTCCCCACAAAAAAAAAAAAAAAAAAAAACTGAAATGTTTCAGATTTTAAATTACGTCCAAAGGGGCATTTTTTAACATTTTGTGTGTTACCTTTCTTTATTAAATATCATGTTCCTCACACTTAAGCCATAAGATCCAGTGCAACAGCAATATCGCAAAATAGTTTTAAAACGAGCATATCTTTAGAATTTCCGATACAGAGACCCACGTGCTGGAGATAAAAATGTTTTTTCTGCACAACGTTGCCATTGCTCGCTTTGAAATCCTTGAGTTTGTTAATCAAAAATTCGTCAAAGTTTTAAAAAATAGGAAATCGATCATAAAACAAATTTCAAATTTCAAATTTGGTCTTCCACATGCTCATATTCGTTGGAGGATTACGTTATTCAAAATTCGATGACTCTATGTACCGTTGTTTTATCACAATACGAGAAATATACATACATTTATGCAGATTTTTCATTATTTAATTTCTTCAAATATAATGCAGGACTCTAACATTTTGTGGCAACAGTTTGAAAAGTGAACCGACATTTATGAGTCCGACGCAAAATGCCAAAACGAAACTAATAGTCCTTTGGGATTCAAATCCCTTTGGACTAAAAAAAAAAAACAGGAATTTATATGATGTATTATTTTGGGTTCTTAATTATTATTTATTCCAAATTATATGAAAAATTCAGAAACTAAAGAGAAATATTTATTGAGAATGATACAATAAAGACAAACATTTGAAAATAACTCTCACTAAAGACTTACAAATATTAGAGAATAAATTAATCTGAGCAGTAGAAGGCAGAAAAATCAAGAAAATTTCAGTCATCAGCTATATATACAGAAATAGTATTCTAATCTAAAACTTCAATAATATGTCATCAGCCTAGGCAATAAAGTCAAATTATCAAATGTGATATATCTTGCTTTATATGAGCAACCCACTTACAAAGTAGAAACTATATGAATTTTTTAACAATGAAAAATGACTGTACACTTATACACATATGCATAAAACAAATATTCACACAAATTTATAACAGAAAGTAAATATCAAATATTTATTTTACTACTGCAAATATATTAAAAAATAATAGAAGTTATAAAAGCAGTACTTTACTTTTAGTGCAATAAATCAAAAAAAAAAAAAAAAAAAGTGAAGAAATAAGCTTTGACATTATAACTTTATGCTTAGTTAGTTACCAAAATTGGGTCTAAATCAGATTTACTCACAAAATTCATGAAATTGCTTTCTACCTAATAATTAAACATTCACCTATAGCAAGCATTACTATCAGGCAAAATTAACATGAAGAAATTAAGGATCTGAGGGGTAGGGGAATTTCCTGTTTTTTGCTTGCCACTAGTATTATATACATCAATCATTTATCTGCTAAAAACCTCATGATGAATTAGCAATACTCTTATTTGCAAGTTTGGAGAAGGGGGAGAAAAGGCTTCAATTTCAAAGCATAAGCAAGAGATGCATTTTTTATTTCCAAAAGTTAAGCCAGAAAATAATCTGAACATATAACTCAATTTATAAATAATAATTAGGAATAAATAATATTTTTCATACTTCTGCTGTTTTAGCACACTTTATATTTGTTCAATTTATCAAGTCATCTCTGTTATAAACTCTTTCATCCTTCCCCATTTACCACTTGGGAGGGGGAGTTCTAGTACATTTGCCACGTTAAATATTAATATATTTATATATTATAAATTTATATTATTTCAGTTTTTTAACAATCCCTCCTAAAGCAATAGAATAAAGAATAACCAGTCAAATAACATAATAAAGAATGATAAAGCTCTGTTTCCCCTTTTAAGCATAGAACACAAAATCATTCCATAAGAACTGAAAAATTTGGAAGAGGGTAAGTTGTAAATTCTTAGATTATAAAATATATATCCACCTTCAAAGTAAAAACCTTTTGTAAAACCATTTCCATTGGAAGTCATAGGGCCTTTGAGATCTTTGAAGCATTTCAAAACCTATTCTGAAAATATTCTTTGGTTCAATCAGCTTTATACTATTAAAATTCTCTGCATTGGAGAATCAGCGATGTTTATATCAAGGTAGAAGACACATAGCAAGAGATTAGGTGATTATAAGTCGGATAGAACAACACACCTATTTTAGCAAAAAAAATTTTAAAAACAAAGAATTTTTAAGAACATGTCCCTGAAGAACTATTGTTTTTGTTTTGTGATTTTGTGTTGAATCACTATAAATGTCCGTTTCACTTTTCAAACTGTTGCCACCAAATGTTAGTCCTGCATTATATTTGAAGAAATTAAATAATGAAAAATCTACATAAATGTATGTATAGGGTGATTATAATTAAAGTTTAAATTTCAAAATGCTATAAAAAAAGAACCACTGATTAAAATGATGTGAAATTTGAAAGGAATGTTATTGAAGAAGGCAGAAAGCATATGGCAGAAGAAAAAATTTAGTTTCAAAAGTTAGCAACAGATGGCGCTGTAAGCAGCAGAATCACAACGAGAAATGATTCGTAAAACAACGGCTAAGGTGGAAGTTACACATTAAAACGCATTGACAAATTAGAATTGTTGAATAATTTTATTTGCATGACTGTACATATCACATCGAAAGGGACAAATCGGTTTCAAGAGTTTTGCGGCAACATACCGCATAAGAACCATTCATCAAAGAAGTTCAGAACTGTTGCGAGACTGGCGCAAAACATGTTCAATATGGTGTCCACCGTTGTGTGCAACAAGTTGAAAGCGACAAACAGCATGTTCCACAACGGATCGCAGTGTCTCCGGGGTGATGTTCAGAATGTGTTGCGAAATGCGTGCCTTTAATTCCACTAAATTTGCAATTGGAGCACGGAACACAACATCCTTCAGATATCCCCACAGCCAGAAATCTCACGGAGTAAGAGCAGGTGATCGGGATGGCCAGGCTGTAGGGAAATGACGGCTGATAATTTGAGCATTTCCGAAATGGCGCCTCAGCAGCTGCTTCACGGGATGTGCAATGTGCAGAGGAGCACCATCTTGCATAAAAATGATTTCATCCACACATCCATGCTGTTGCAGAGCTAGAATCACGTGGTTGCGCAAAAGAGACGCATACCACTGACCAGTGACGGTTGCGGTAACAGGACCGGAAGCACCCGTCTGCTAAAAAAAATATGGTTGTAGGATGAATGATGCCGTAAAGCCACACCATACCGTGACCTTTTCAGGATGAAGTGGTATGGGGTGCGTTGCCAGTGGATTTTCTGTTGCCCATATTCGACAATTCTGGGTATTCACGTATCCTGTCAGATGGAAATGGGCTTCATCTGTCCACAAAATTTTCCACGGCCATTCATTATCCACTTCCATGCGAGCCAGGAATTCTAACACAAACATCTCCCTAACTGTCAGGTCAGACAGAAGCAACTCCTGCACATGGCCAGTTTTGTACGGATAGCATTGCAAGATGTTTCATACAATTTTCAGCACCATGCTCGTAGGCCTGTCCAATGTTCGGGCAATTCCTCGTGCACTGCACGGTTGCACACCACCGGCCGACCCCTCCTGTAATGCTATGGCCACTTCTTCAACTACCGTCGAATGCACTCGTTTTCTCCCTCTACCAGATTGCACATCAAACGAACCTGTCGTTTCGAATTTTACATCATTTTCTTTAGACCTACGACACACATTGGACCAACGCCTTCTTTCATACCCTTCAGTGTCCTGAATTTTTGCAGAGCTACTCTTGCGCAATCATCATTCTTGTAATACAGCTTTACCAGCAGAGCACGGTCCTGCAGTGAAACACCCATGGCGAACGTCAAATGAGGAACAGCCTGGTACCTGGTGGCTTTATAACACTGAAATTTAACTAACATTTTAATTTATGTCTTCTTCTGCTTGCAGTGTCATCTGTTGCTAACTTTTGAAACTAAATTTTTTCTTCTGCCATACGCTTTCCGTCTTCTTCAATAACATTCCTTTCAAATTTGACATCATTTTCATGAGTGATTCTTTTTTTTTATAGCGTTTTGAAACTTTAATTATAATCACCCTGTATATTTCTCTCATTGTGATAAAACAATGGTACATAGAGCAACTGAATTTTGAATGACATAATCCTCCTATGAATATGGGCATGTGGAAGACCAAACTTGAAATTTGGAATTTGTTTTATTATCAATTTCATATTTTGTAAAACTTTAAAGAATTTTTGATTAACAAACTCAAGGATTTCAAAGCGAGCAATAGCAACACTCTACAGGGGGAAAAAAACCTTTTTATCTCCAGTGCGCAGAACTGTGTATCGAAAATTCTAAAGACAGGCTCATTTTAAAATTATTTTGCGACATAGCTATTGAACTGAATTTTATGGTTTAAGTGCAAAGAACATGATATTTAATAAATAAAGGTAACACACAAAACATTAAAAAAATGCCCCTTTGGACGTAATTTAAAATCTGAAACGTTTCAGATTTTTATTTAGTTAGTTTTTTTAATAGTGACATCTGTAAGTATTATCATATCAGCTTTTAATTCTACCCATTATTTAAATAATCTCTAGCATAAGTTCAAACTGAATAATAATCTTTGATGTCAAAAATATCTTTAGAATGCCACCCAACCGGAATGATGGTTAGTGATGCTGACTGCCATACCAAAGGGCCCAGGTTTGAATCCCAGAGAAAGCATGAATGTTTGTAAATATATAGTGTCTGTGTAGCATGGGGGTGCTTTAAATATAAAGCAAGCCATAAGTTTTCTAGAAAGGTTGTGGTAGGGGAAGAGAGGTGGAAGATCCTCGCACATGTGTTTTCCTTCAAAATATGGGGCAGAACTAAGCAAAGTCATATTGTCACCTGCATGGTGCTCAAGGCTATTGCCAATGAAAGGCACAATCTTGCACTCTTGCAACAATAAATTTTGTGGGCTTTTTCTGATATTACTGTCAGGCAAATGAGATAAGTCAATATCTTTAGAAAAGAACAATATCTTTAGAATGGCTTTTGTTGCAGTCTTACTACATTTCTGCTTACAACTTACAAACTTCTGTTCCCTTAATTCTGATCATACATCCTATTCATTTTTTCTTTGGAACTATTGGAAATGCTTCAGAAACAGAAGAGAGTGTTATCACCACAAACCTGCTTCAACATGCTGTATGTTTTCATTGCACATTTGTCCAACAATGCACAAAACATAAATCACTCATTAAATATAATTTTTTGTTCATTAACAATCAGAATAAGATTAGGGATATTAACTCAGGAATCTTATAGGATCTGTCACATTAGCAGATTATTTTCACACTCAGTATCTTTCATAAATTATAATAATGATGACAATATTCAAAAATTATTAGGCAAATTACATTTATTTCAATTAAATGCAATAAAATAACATAATTTATAACTTAAATATAAAAAATTAATTTATTATTGAAAAATTAAATATAAATTATTAAAAAGCATTAGCTGAGTTTGATAAGCAACTACTCATGTCATGTTGAATGCAAAATTCTTAAAAACTAACTATTTGACAAACCATGTGAGAGTTAAATTAAAAAAAAAAGCATATGTCTCTTGGAATGACAACAATTGCCAGACCACATGAATGATAAACGATTTGAAAGAAAAACATGATGGTTAAAAAATAGAAAAACTTCACTGTAAATGTTTTTAATACAGCAGAGATAATCTAAAACGCTTCGATTATACACCAAACTTATACCAAAAAGCCAGTTAAAATATGCATACACATATATGGCTTTCCACCAGCTGAAGACAAATTTCTCCTGAGAATTTCAGGCACAATAGTAGCTGATGGAGGTCTTGGTGGTAGGCGGGGTGCTCCACAAGATCTTACGTCTTCAATGCAATCTTTGTGGACAGCTACTCCACAAACTGTAAAGATATACTTTACACTTATGAACTGTTTAATATTAGAGGTATTACATATATTCCAAAGTTAAAATTCCTAAAAACCAGCCTCTAAAATAGATCTGAATATTACAATTATAGCTAATCTTGATATAATATAGTAATCTTGATATACTATAATAATAATCTTGATTTACTATAATAGGAGTTGTTTTCTCCACTGAAGATTGAGATTAGAATCTGCCCAATCTGGATTAAAAATGTCTTTTTTTCAGGTAAAGGAAAGTAATAAATCTATTTATTTGATATTTTTTAATAAATTCATGTGTTTTATATTTATTTAGCAGCATACATAAGCAAAAATTATGTGCATTAAATTTTGTGATGGCATGTCGCCATACTGCTAGAATTAGTTTCAATCTTTACTAATAATAAGTAAACTTAAAAGGGAAGATAATTACTATTAATCAAAACAAAGATAATTACTTACAAATTGAATTAGAATAATCAACAATATTTTGGCAAATATATTAAATGGTTAGCCTAGGTGACCGATTACTTTTTTTTATTATTTTACTACAAAATGACAAATAAAGCATTTATTAAAAAGAAAAGGTTTAAAAGATTTTGCAGTAAAATCCTATTATCCTGCTATGGCCCTGGCACTATTTTGAAAACCGTCGCCAAATCCCGTGTGTACCGTAATTGGAGGTTAGAATAGAATACATGAAGGCTATTCTAACCTCCATGGTAACATATACTGGGATTACACCAATTTGGTTTCATACGAGAATATGTATTTTCTTTAGTTCAACATGCACTGCACATGCGCGTCTTTCGATACTCGAGACTACTGGTAGCGAAATTTGCTGGAAACTTGCTTTGCCTTTCTAAAAGACAATCTAATTAGAGCTGCGAAAACTGGATCTATGCCAGCTGGCCAAATAACGCTCACATGATAAATAATTCGCCAAGAAAGTGATCGCTTCAAACGTCGCCGCAAAACTCACTTTTTTTAGGGATCACTGTATGAAATTTCCAGATTTTGATTCTTATTAATTATTTATATTTAAATTCTCTGACTTTTCACTGAATTTTTTGGTCAATTTTCGAACTCCCTGACTTTTTCCGGTTTTCCAGGTAGCGTGGCAACCCTGAATGATTAGAATAATTCAAGGTTGATTTTTTTCCTTTGAATGTGATTCGCATGACCTTCTTTTGCGATTTCCTAATGTGCAACATTCTTTACTTTTTAATTTCATTACAAGTGGAATGCCCCCCCCCAAAAAAAAAAAAATTTCACTGAAGTAATTTATAAGTATTTAAATATTATTAATTGTTCTCATGAAGTATTATTACTTACCTAATAATCATACAAACATTCATAAAGGTGAAAATATTTTAAATTTGTAATTCATGTAGATAATGTTATGAGTTAGCTTTGTGCCAACATTGAAGCCTGCATTTTTTTTAACAGCACAAATTTTATGATTCGGTAAATATGGCATCTTTTTTAAAAACAAATTTTAGTACTTGCTCGGTATTTTTCATAACAATCTGCACAAAAATACCCATAACTTAATTGATTAATATTAATCTTTTTTTAAACCGATAATTTATTTTTAGTTACAAACTAATGCACACATTTCACTTAAATATGTAATACTGTAAATACCTTTGTGTAAGGCCCCTAAATATGTTCAGCAACCATATAATGTAATATAGTGCTCAATTTTGGTGGTAGAGAAATCAAGTTTTTTGTACTTTATTTATTTATATTTATTTATTTATTTTACAACGAGTATATAATTTTCTTAATTATAAGTATAGAGATCAGAAGATTCCATGAAAAGTTACATTTCATATTTTTATAAGATTGAATTTTTAAATCAAAAAATGACAAAACGTGAATTTTTGTGGCACTTGAAACATTTTTGTAACTTTAAGTATTGGTCTATAAGCAACAGTTATGAAAACAAAGGTTGGGTAAGGACTTAATGAACTGAACATAATTCTGACAGAAAAAAAAAGGAGAGTGTGCACAAATTATATACATTATAAAAAGCATAACATTGTAACCTATGGGAGATAACTATTCCAAGGGCTTTGAATATCCCACTTTAGAACTTAATTATATAGGGACCATATATTTAGGTCCAAGCTCAAGCAATTTTGATATATTTGTTCAATGAGAATGCAATCACTGAAAAGCATCTTGTATTTATATACTGAAGAACAGAAATATTTTGTTCACAGTCATTATTATTTAATTGTAGCCACTTTTCAGTGTTCCACTAATTTATGAAGATCTTTCCTATAATTTAGCACTCTAACTTTTTTTCTCATCAATTAAATTATTCTGAAATACCAGTCAGAAGTAATTGAAAAGACAATTAATAATTAAGAAAATAATTGTTATGATTAATATAAATTGTGTAGCAATATTTTATCTTAGACGTTTCATAAAATACTACAAAAAATTAGTTTATATAGATAGTTAATTCTTTAAAGCTCAGTCCGACTTCATATTTTATCTGTCAATTGTTAACAACCTAGGTTCTCCTTATTTATGAAAACTCCAGATTCCAGTACCATACAGAATACTGTTGCCGCATACAGGTTCATAACAGAATGAATGCACACTGGTCCAATGACAGGTTGATAAATTTATCAAGTACTGTTTTGTATTAGCTGAGAAATATTTGGCGACAGAGCAGAATCTTGGCAAATAGCGCTTGCGTCATCAGAACTGCCACTGAAATATATTCTGTGAGAAACTTGATTTTTAGGGTACATTCAAAGTTGCGATGCATATGTTACGCTGTAAGAAAGAAACCGGGTGCCAGAGTGTCGCTATGGAAAATAAATATATTGAAAATTAGAGTGTGTTATTTTCTGTAATCTGTGTGGTGTTATTTTATCGTGATATATAGCTATCGACAGGAAATAGAATAATTCAAGTTTTTGGTCGGTCAGAGCCGGAACAGCTAATGAAGTTTACGAGACTGTGATGTTACTTTCCGTTTTGTGAAATGAAGAATTACATAGGATACTTTCAGATTGAAGTTTTGTAGAAACAAAAGGGTAAGTATCCTCCCCCTTTTTTGAAGCTCTTTATTTGTTTATTGATTTTGCTAATTAAAATGTCAGTAAAGGAGATATTAGTGAAAAAACGTACATTAAAATCACAGTTAACAAAGTTAAAACAAAAAGTTACAGATAAAAATGTCCAAAGAAGTGACTTGGAAGTACTGAAGAAATAAATTTAAAGTGCTTGAGATGGAGATAAATTCAAATTTCGATTCTTTGTTCGGGTTATGTTCGGGAAAGTATTGATATTTATGTAAAAGAGAAAGAAGAGATTAACGATATTCTCTTAGATGTAGAAGTCGAATTAAATCGTAAATTAGTTAAACTTTCCAAAGAAATTAGATTTGGAGCCTTCAGTTTGCACGAATACTGGAAACAAAGTTAAATTACCCAAAATTAGTTTGCCAATGTTTTCAGGTAACTTACATGAGTGGCTTTCATTTAAATTACCCAAAATTAGTTTGCCAACGTTTTCAGGTAACTTACATGAGTGTCTTTCATTTAAAGATATCTTTTTAGCCAGTGTTGATTCAAATCCTAATTTAACAGATGCAGTCAAATTACAGTAACTAAAATCTGTGCTAAGAGGAGATGCTTATCGTATTACGCAGTCAATATCCATAGTTGACTCTAATTATAAATTAGCCTTTTCATTACTAGAAAAAAGGCTCTCTAATCACTGCCAACAAGTGTATGCTCATCTGAAACGATTTATGAGTATGCATCCTATGCAAAATGAGTCTGCGTCAGCAATATTAAACTTAATTGACATTACAAATGAATGCATGAGATCATTAGAAGTTTTAAATCAGAGTGTTGAAGAGTTTTCTTCCAATGTATTTGTATACATTTTAGGGCAAAAATTAGATCCTAACACTAAAATATGGTGGGAAAGAAAATTAGAGAAAGAGAATTTGCCTAATTTAACAGATCTTATAGAATTTCTTAAAGATCATGCAAGAACTCTCAACACTTCAAAGAGAGTGACTAATACAAAAAACGTTACACATAGAGTTACCGCCGTCGTTTCTAATGCAAATGAAAAACATATACAGAATTCGTGTAGATTATGTAATTTGAGCAATCACAAGCTTTTTAATTGTTCTAAATTTCAGAAATTAAGTGTAAAAGAAAGGGTAGAATTTGTGAAAAAAAAAAAGAATTTATGTTTTTGTTTTAATTTGCACAGTGTGAGAAACTGCCATTCTAATTACTTGTGCAAGAAGTGTAAGAAAAAACATAGCTTTCTCTTATGTTATCAAAACGAAAATAATTCCATTGGTACCAGAGTAGAAAGAGCACACACTTCAGATCAGGAGTTGGATAATCAAAACAGCAATGCGTTAAATGTACATGCACCTGCATTTCAAGCTAAAACTCAAAACGAAACCTTTACAGCCACTACGGGTACTAACAGTGGGAAAAACGTGATTTTGTCTACTGCCTTTGTATTCACTGAGATTAATGATGGAACTTTAATTAAGGTGAAAGCATTATGTGATAGTGAATGTGTTTCTTGTTTTTGTACCACTGAATTAGCAGATACTTAATTTAAAAAAGGAAAAGACATATATTTCGGTTTGCAGTATATCTGTTATTTCAACTACGATAAAAAGAAAAGCAGTTGCCCTTATCTGTAATCAGGAACAAACATATAAAAGGAAATTAGAGGTTTTGGTAATTCCAAAAATAGCAGGTTTAACTCCCGCAAAGTTTATCGATGTTAGTAACCTTGTGATTCCTGAGGAGGTAAATTTAGCAGATCCGGAATTTTATAAACCAGAGAAAGTAAACCTGTTGCTCGGCGTGGAAGTTTTTTATGATATGTTATGAGCTGGTAAAATCTATGTTCCTCACACAGGCTTGATATTACAAAATGGCGTGTTCTGATATATAATTAGTGGAAATATAAATGATTCACAGAGAATTAATTTATCGTATTGTGGGTTAATAAATGATAATTCAGAGAGTGAAATGAAAATGTTTTTCGAACTAGAATCATTAGGAATTAAAGATGATCCTTATTATCATGAGGAAGACAAAGCATTGGAAATATTTAATAAGACAGCTTGTTTTAGAGCTGGTCGCTACGAGGTTACTTTACCTTGGAAAAGGAACTGGAGTGAATTAGCTGATAATTATCAAGTAGCGGAAAATAGATTAAAAACTCTTGCAAAGCAAATGAATTATGACAAAACACTGTTTTCAACATATAGTGAAATATTAGATGATTATCTCAAGCAAGGTATTATTGAGAAAGTGTCAGATGGAAAATATACCTATCGGTAAACCAGTCTTTTACCTACCACACCAACCGGTATTTAGAAAAACCAGTGCTTCAATGAAGACTAGAATAGTGTTTGATGGCAGCTCACATGAGTTCGGGCAGTTATCACTGAACGATTGTCTATGGACAGGGGCAAATTTGAATCCTAACATGTTCCATCTGCTAATTAATTTCCGATTAAATAAAGTTGCAATTTCAGCGGATGTAGAAAAAGCATTTTTGCAGATTGCTTTGGCAGAAAAGGATCAAGACGCAGTGCGATTCCTGTTTGTGGAAAACACACAATTAAATGATCTAAAACTAGCGACATATAGATTCAAGCGCGTAAATTTTGGGATTAAGTCAAGTCCATTTTTGTTGGCTGCAACAATTAAAGAACACATTAGAAAATATCGAGATGAGCAGCCAGATGTATTTGAAATATTGAATTCTTGTGTTTATGTTGACGATTTTATTACTGGACAGGACAGTCTAGATGAGGCTCTAAGGTTATCGCGTAAAGCGAAACAAATTATGAATGAAGCAAATATGAACTTGCGTAAATGGGTACCCAATGATCCTGAGCTGCTGAGAAAATGGGAAGAAGAGTTCGAAATCCATCCACATAAAATCAATGACTCAGACGAGACACTTAAGATCTTGGGAATGCTTTAGGATACTAATGAAGTCAGTCTGAGTATAGACACAGACAGTTTGATGGAATTTCTTAAGAATAAGCGTAATATGAAACGATTAATCTTGAAAACTGCAGGGAAGATTTTTGATCCCTCTGGGTTAATAACTCCATTTACTGTTAGACTTAAATTCTTGCTACAAGAACTTTGGGTTCAAAAATTGACATGGGATGATGAACTACATACAGATATCTGTTAAGAGTGGGAAAAGTGGTGCTGTGAGTGTCATCATCTAAGTAAAATTGCAATTCCAAGATTTATTCTGATACTTGAAGCCGATTCCATAGAGATCCATTGCTTTTCAGATGCCAGTCAGAGGGCGTACGGTACTGTTGTCTACGTAAAACTGCGTAAGCAAGAAGAAATTTCTGCGAGTTTCATCACATCAAAATGTCATGTTGCACCTGTAAAAAGAATTACGTTACCTTGTCTTGAATTACTTGGTGCATTACTAGCAGTGCATTTAGGTTCTGGAGGGAAAAAATTGCTCGATCAAAAGAAATCCTCGAGAACATTTTATCGGACTGATGCCAAAATAGTGTTATGCTGGATTAAAGGTACCAGTACTTTTTGGTTGGTAGACCTATCACAACTCTTGCTGAGCCAGATTTATCCAACATAAATAAAAACCGACTTTCTAAATGGCAAAGAATCACTAAGTATACACAAAAAATTTGGAAATTATGGAAACGTGATTATCTTAATAATTTACAAGAACGTCACAAGTGGAAATTTTTAAAGGAAGACATTCAGTTGAGAACTCTTGTATTAATAAAAGATGAAAATTTGCCTTCAACTAAATGGTTAGTGGGAAGAATAGCTGAGGTTTTTCATGGTAGAGATAACAAAATAACAGCAGTAACTGTAAGATTGCCTAATCAACATTTGTTAAAACGAAATGTTCGAGATATGTGTACACTTCCTGTAGAATGATTGTTTATCTATTTATATAAACTGGTATTTGTTGTAATGATTTGAATACATATTTTTCAATATTGTGATTTGTTATTGTGAAGTAATTTATTGTAGTGCCTTTATATTTACATTTATTGTAATAATAATTTTGAAATTGTTAATTAAATGTCGGGAGTGTTTGGTATTAGCTGAGAAATACTTGCCGACAGAGCAGAATCTTGGCTAATAGTGCATGCGCCACCAGAACTGGTGCTGAAATATATTCTGTGAGAAACTTGATTTTTGTGGTACATTCGAAGTTGTGATGCATATGTTATGCTGTAAGAAAGAAACCTAGCACCAGAGTGTCCCTATGGGAAATAAATGTATTGAAAATTAGAGTGTGTTATTTTCTGTAATCTGTGTGGTGTTATTTTATTGTGATATATAGTTATCGACAGGAAATAGAATAATTCAATTCAAGTACAGTCAGCAGTTACACTTCAAACTACTAAGAATATTAAATGAAATGCAAGCAAAGCACATCCTTCAAAAGAAGTGAAGCTTTCAATACTTCGAAGTCACTCTGAACAAACAACTCACAACAACAACTACTAAGAGCAGATGTTATCTCAGGCCATATATACTTCTCACCAGCTGCTAAGATATTTCTAGTAGTTTTTGCTTCTCAAAATTACTGGAAGGCAATATGAGGGTCAAATTATGGTTACGGATAATATAGTGATCAATTACATTTGTTGAATTACAATACATATTATAGTGATACAGGGACTGGACCCAAATGGTTGCCAAGTTTAGCGACTTTTTGCGATACAAATTACAGTGAAATCGAATTATCTTTCTATACATTTCTCTGTTCTGAATCAAGTTCACTTAGTAGTTTAAAAGATAACTACTGTATGATTTTGGGATATTGACAAATATCTGAGGAACCTTAAGCATTTTGTTTTATTTGTTGCGATAATAATAAATTTTATTCACTTTTCTTCAGACTTCTGCATTCAATTCATAATGAACCCGTACACACACAACAATACGTATATAACAATTTCACACATAATTTCACTAAAATTATCCATGTATGTACAAAAATCGTAACAATACTGAACATAAACTGCTCTACAAGATTTCTCAACTCGTGTAGTTTTTTCTAATACAGATAAAAGAATTTACATAAAATCTTACCTGAACATAAATAACCTTGATAAAATAAACCCCTGAAAAAAATAACATTTATAAGTAATGTAATGAATACTTAATATTCAATATAAATCTCAAAAAACTATATAGAATTATCTCCAGCAAAATTTCAAATGGTTTTTTTATATTATTCTTTTAACAAGCATAGTTACATTTACTGTTTTACAAGGGAATTGGTGCAATTAATTAAATTGCTTTATAGGGTATTCGCAAACCAATAAGGATCAACTGGATACACTGACTATCCACAAAAATTACTTTGTATAGTATCTTAAAATTCAGGGATGGAAATATAAATGCTAATTAGACCTTATTTGGAAAAATACTCAATAAATTCTCAGCATTCCTACTCTTCCTATAGTCTGATACCACGGATACAAATATTAAAATACCAAAATTATCAAATGCATGATCATGGATATATGAGTATGCATGAATAATCAGAACTTATCTTGCATTTTACTATCCATAATGGCAGGAATGTTTTTAAAAAGCAAACAAAAAAATAGCTGACGAAAATAGATGATTTCAAAATAATCAGGAAGAGGAACATTTAGTGCAAAATCAACATATAAACTTGTTTGCTTTGCCATGGAAATGTGATAGTAAAAAAATATAAAATTGTTCATCATTATATTATGAAATGCAAATATTTTAATGATACTTTCCTTGCAGATCTTTTAAGAATAGAAAAATTAATTTTCTTCAAAAAATCTCTGCAACAATAACAAAATATAATGGCAATTGTATAAGATACAGCAATAATAAAAGCATCATATGAAGTCTGTTACTTACATGGCAAAAATATAAAATCATTTATGGATGCAGAAACTGTGGAAGAATGGTTCATCAATGCAAATATTTGATAAGTTTAGAAATAAAAATCAAATAATTGCATAAATTAAAAACACTATTTTTGGATTCTATTTGCTTCAAGCCCACTGAATATATAGCAAAACACATTTCTGATCACATCACAGAAGATTTTAAAAAGTGGATATATTTAGCTTCGCTAGTCTTTGATTCTAGCACTAATATTTCAGCAATATCACAGTACAGTACAAAGTCCGTAATTCGGATGTCCATTATCTAGAATGATCTATAATCCGGACCTCAAAGACCACAGATCTTTTTTATGCTTTATGCATGCACGTAAAGAATGCACACATTGAAAGAAATGCTTAATAAAGTAAACAAATAAATATTAAGCTTTTTTTTGTAAAATTTGATACCCTTTAGATCATAATTGCTCTTTATTTCATAAATTAGGGTTTCATACTTTTAATTGTATAATTTCTGCATGCCATCTTATTGATGATATATAATCTGGAAAAACCCCTAATCCGGAATCCCTGATGTCCCAACAAGTCCGGATTACAGACTTTGTATTGTATTTTGTTTTCATTAGATATTGTAATGAACATAATTTAATTCACAAAATTATTTTTGCATTTCTTCCTATGAAGAATCAAACGAGAGGCAAATGTTTTCTTCATGCTACTGGCACATTTCTTGAAAAGAATTATATTGATATAAACAAATTAGATTTTATAAGTCAACAAATAGATGGATACAAGATCGGAAAAAAGATTTACTTCCTTAATTAAAGTAATATAAATTAATAATTTTGTTACTATTTCACTGTATCATTCACCAAGAAAACTTTGCTGCATGTGTCTTTATGCCTGAATTAGATGCCATGATGAAAACTGTAAGAAATATAGTGAATTATTTGTTCACAAGATCCAAAGTATATATATATTTTTTAATTTATTGGACAAAATTAATAGTAGCATCTCAATCAGAGTTCAGAGGGTGAAAAAAAAATTATTTTACAGATGGGAAACAAAGTTGTTGCTGAAAAGGAAAAAAAGCACTCACTCTTTTTTAAAAGAAACTAAGTACTAATTATGCAGAAACACACAAGCAAATGCGGCTTAATTTTCTAACCAAAGCTAAACAGGAAATTTCTCATCTAAGCACTTGTAATTTTTGCCAGGATTTTTTAACTTTAATTAAGTTTTATGCTAATGGCAATCAACTAGAGGTTCACGAGAAGTATGTGGCTCATGAGATAACTCATAGTTAACCTATAGCTCACTTTAACAATCCTTTCTTTTAGCCACTTCCCAGTTTTGAATGAATGTTGTTCATGTCTTATCGATGCTTTCATCTTATTCATCAGTACTTACATTTTTTCTGATGATGCAAAATTTGACGCTAAAATGCATGAGTGTCCAAAATTGCAGAAACTGTGGCCGGTAATCAAGCATCTGAATTCTTGTTATCAAGAAGTTATTACACATGAGAGAGATGTGACAGTAAATGAAAACTTGATGCTGTTCAAGGGAAGATTACACTGGAAACAGTATATACCTCTAAAGAGGTCACGATTAAGTATAAAGAGTTTTGTTTTATGTGAATCGAAGTCCGGTTATGTATATCAATTTATTATATACACTGGAAACGATACTCTTTTCGATGATGATTACCAGCATTTCTGCAAGTCCTCTCAAGTAGTGATGACTTATATGCAGCCCCTATTGAATAAAGGGTATTGCCTAATAACAGATAATTATTATACATCACCAGAGCTTGCAGATATTTTTCTCAAAAATCAAACGAATATGTATGGAACACTCAAACTTAACTGAAAAGACGTTCCAAAAGAATTTCAGTCAAAAAAAACTAAAAAAAGGTGAAATCTGTAATCAAAGAGGGAAAGTCTGCATCATCAAATGGATGGATAAAAAAGTTGTATCTCTGTTATCTACTGTACACAACCGTGTGATGATTTACGTGCTGTCTTATAAGGATGAGATCAGACAGAAACCGAAGGTGGTAATGGAGTACAATAATACCATGGGAGGTGTAGATAGAATGGATCAGCATCTCACTGATTACCCAATCACAAAAATGAGAGGAAAGAAATATTACAAAAAAATATTCCTCCACTGGCAAAAATAATAATTTTGGAAGTGATTTCTTCCACTGATAAAAAATTGAGACCAACAAGGCAATGTTTTGTGTGTTGCTCGAAAATAAACGACTTTGGAAAATGGGAGAGAAAAGAAATGCGATATTTTTGTCCTGATTGCGATGTTGGACTATGCTTGTTTCCCTGTTTTAAAATTTATCATACAAAAACTGAATTTTAAAAGGAAAATTAATGTAATAACAATAAATAATTTTAAACTCTGACATCTATTTTTGTAAAGTGTTCTTTCCAGTTCGCTTACTTGTTCGAAAAAAGCCAACTTTCAGGGAAAATGTGCTTTTTATGATGAAAATAAAAATTAGCATAAATCAATAAATTCAACACTTGTAATAGTTCTGACTGCTGATTTGGGAGAAACTGTTAAGTGGTTAATTGACCACAGATTTTTCAACAAGCATACACTTTCATATGCTTTTCTAACAATGTGCAATGCATAAATGCAGATAGTACATACAAACTTATAATTTTGTGAATGCGTCTACATGACTTGGTGGCTGTATTTCCAGTGAACACCCCAGTTGTTCTTATGAACCTGTACACATTAATATTATTAACTTGTAAATATCTCAAAATTTTAATATTCATTAATTTATGTTGCAACAAAATTTAATGCTTTCATTACCTCATATCACATTACAATTCAATGACATTAACATTTTACTAAAATGTCTATTCAGATGGACACACTGTATTTGTTAAACCTAAAGTCTTACATCTAGTCTTGCTAGTGTTCTTTCTATCTCCAAAACAATTTACAAAGATAATTTCAAATAAATATAAGAATTAAAACAGTTTTAATCATCATACAACATGTTCCAAAATATTGAATAAAGAATTTATATTTTGCACAATACCAGTGTAGGCTTTAAACTGGACTCCACATGTGCAAGCATGGTGATGTGCATTATCTTGAGAAAATATAACTCCTTAGTAATACCATTCATCACTATGCCTTTCTTTCATAGTTCTGCTGAAAGCAATCTAAGTGATGAATACACTACTTATTGATATTAAAGGTATAATTTGATGACAAGAGCTCACCAAGCATCAATCTAGGACAATCCATTAAAAATTCAGCACTGCTTTCTTCCCTACAGAGATGCCTTTTATAACAGACAGCGATGCTTCTTCCTACAGAGATGCTTGAACTTCTCTATAAAAAATGCACAAAGAAAAAAAAAAAACTTTTATCTTACCTCAACAGCTTTTCACATTCTGTACATGTTGTTGGCTTCTCAAAAGAATGCATTTGAAATATGTGGTCTGTGGACCTTAAAGCTGCAGGCATAACATTGTCCCTTTAAATGGGGGGAAAAAATGGTGATATTTCAAAAAATCAGAAATCTAGAATCATGAGCAAAACTCAATTTAATAATTAGAATTTTTTAAATAAATAAAGCAGTGTTTCATGAAAGAAAAGCAATGGCCAATCCTTAATAATGTTTTCATTTATTATTAAAGTTGTAATCTTATTAAAAAATTATCTATTTATCCCTGCTTTTTAAGAAAAGCTGTAAGGTTATTCTTTCATGGCAACAAGTCTAAAAATCTGTCTTTAATTTATATTGAACTCTGTTATAAAAATGCTAATTTTAGTACACATATATAAATAAAAAATACATCTTCTATGACCACTGAGAGCAGTACAACTCTGTTACTACTAAGAGCAACCTATAAGCAGAATTTCACTTTGAATTTCTTCTACAGAAACTAATTCTTAAAAAAAAAAAAAAAAAAAAAAAAAAAAAAAAAAAAAAAAAATGGGTTGAATAACATATAGATTAAAAAGAAATCATATTAGCACATTTTAAAACTTATTTATATTATATGCATTTATATTACATTCTCCACCAGATTTTTTAAAAAGATTATGTGCATCAATAAGTAAAAGAAAGCTTCAAATGCATAAAAAATGTTCTAAGAAACTATGCATAATCAAACTTCATTAAAAACATAATAGTAAATTTTACAAAAAAGGCCATTAAATATTTAAAAAAAACATACAGGTTAAACAATACATGTTACATGATCATAACTTATTCTTAATTATCTAGTCATGCACCTCAATAATGTATTAAAAATTGTACACATACAGTGCTTTTTCAATAGCCTCAATCCACTTTCGTTTCATTTCTTCAGTTTTTGCATACATGGTGAGAGCAGTTTTGTTCTGTTTGTGAGCAAGTAACCAATAGAAGCTCCACTGAAAATAACATAGTAGTAACATATACATATGTTGCACTTAATCACAATTCAATCACTTAGCCATTTTATAATACTTTAACAACAAATTACTTTAAAAATATTCATTTCATGATGACTGCACTGTATTCTGCTTGCATGATCATAGACAAATATTTCTAATAAAATAATAAAAAATAAATTTTAATGATTCACACAAATAAAATACTAGTATTCACTTATGCAATTTAATTTGGTCTTAAATATTACTTAAAAGTTCTTTTAGATTAATTTTTTGAAATATATATTTTTTCATTGTTTTATATACATGCACTTAATTTACATACGCTGTCAGAATTTAAATGATACTGTACATTAGTTCGCAGCAATAATTAATTTTATTTTTGCAATTAAAACTTCTAAATTATATTTTAAATTTATATTAGCTTTATAAGAATAGAATATTTGTTATATATATATATACATATATATGTATGATATATACGTAGGTTGGGGCAAAAGTCATGGCAACTATTTTTTTTCTTGAAGATACCAGTCCGGTTGGAAAATGTGACATATACAGACGAAAGGACAAGGTCTTAACTACATGTGTGGACAATAAATAGCACTGAATATCGTAACACACAAATTTATTATGGTAGTGTACAGGGCAATATAGCCTTCGCCGTGCAAAATGACATGACAAACCTGGGCCTAAAGACTTTCAATGCTACTGTCACCAGATGCTGCCAACGATGTGGGAGGCGTTGAATACCATCAGCCTCAGCATTTGCAGCACAATATGTGAATGGAGTCATCTGTTGGCGCACAGCATTAGCGATGAATGTCCTCTCGTGTTGCAAACTGCCTACCACATATTGGTTCCTTAATCTTGGGAATGAGATCAAAGTCACAGGACAAAAGGTCAAGAGAGTACAGTAGGTGCTCCAATTCTTCCCATCCCCAACGTCGGAGTAGCTGGCGTACACACTCTGCATTATGTGGTCTTGCATTGTCGTGCAGAATTATTGCACTGTCCACAAGAACCGGATGTTTATCCCGAATGCCACGTCTTACCTGTCGCACCAGGAAGTCCACTGTGCGGTCACTGTTCTGCCATGAGGAACAAAATGGCGAACAATGACACCCTTGACGTGATATGCGACAATCACCATCAATTTGACTGGGGAAGGATTCTGACGCTAGCTCATTATGCAATATCCTGTGGACAGTGCGTTTCTCGATGCCACTTGCCTTCTCTAACTCCAGTAATGTCCATCGTCAGTCTTCATCCATGAGCTGCTCGATGACGGCACATGCCAAGTCGGTCCGCACACTCACCGGTCGTCTGAATGTTGCTCATCACTGGTTGACAAACGTTATTGCTGAAACTTTCCTACCCACCGTGCTACTGTACGATATGGTACGGCATTATTCCCAAGGGCTTCTACTAATTCACTGTGACATTCCATCGCATTTCTCCCTTGGAGAACGACTATTTTGATGTAAGCAAGCTGCTCAACACGGATTACTTCCATCTCGCACGAAATTTTTAGAATTTCAGAAATACTGAACAAAATTAAAGGATGGCAAAATCTATAGAACTTAGAGTGGCACTGGTAGCAGAATTTAGGTCCAGCAGAGACTGCACTGAGCTGAAAAATGTTAGCAAAGAGCCTGGATAAGCCTTTGGTATTCATCAAATTTTATTCACTTGGGACTCAGATAAGCATTAGCATGTGTGGGAAATAGGCATGAGTATAATAAATAACTAGACTAATATAATCAGGCTTAACTTTCTTAGCATAAGATGGAAGCAAAATTTAGTGTAACAACATGCCTTTAGTTGCCAATCTCATGATACATCACCAATACTGAATAGCAAGAGCCAGCCAAGCTTTATGATAATAACTGCAAATTTGAAGATTTTCAGATGCAGCAAACTAAAAGCGAAAATTTTCAGTTAATGGAATGTGGAGAAGTGGTAATAAATGAAGATGATATAACAGAATTTTTTCATTGCAATGACAATGCCCATATCAACTAATGGATAGCGAAAAAAATAGTATGATTCTAAATCCAGAAAATGTCACATAATACTGAAGAAAGAGATAGAGAAATTGTTGAGGGTGCTTAATTTTGATCGACAATTTAGTGAAAATTCTGGACATTGCCATTACATGACTTGACAATGGAACTTTGTAACGGAACAAGAAATTATAGAGAATTAAAAAAAAAAATTCCTCCCAGTATGAAGATATTACTTAAAAAATATTCAACTTCAAAATGTGATTCCACTACAGTAACACATTAAACAGTGTGGTTAAGTTAAACTGATGATTGACGACTTCTGATTTGGAGAGAACATGGCACCCAATGCAATTCTATGCATGTCAAAGAGAGATAACAGTTTGCTGGAGAGGGTGTTTGAGTGAGGAAATGCTTGGGTGGACGTACTGTTCTGTATGCCATTCGAAATCGGCCTGATTGTTCAAAGGTATAGGGTTGAAATTTTTAGACCCTTGATCATACCTTACATTACCGCTACCAATGCTTCAATTCTTCTCATGCATGATAGTAACTAACCTCATCCTGCATGTGTTATGAACCAGATGCTTGAGAAACAATAGACTGTATAGAGTGTCTGGCATGGTCCTCAAATTTGAAGCCGACAGTACATGCTGGGTCACATTAGGTAGAATGTTGCTGCTAAACCATAACCTCTACTAACAGACTTTGAAATAGCAAAATGACTTTTTTGAAGAGTAAGGAAGAATCCCTCAAAATCTCACTGAACAGCTCATTAACTCAATGGCTCACAGATGTAAAGCCATTCTGCACATTTGAGGGAGCTACAGGTTTTCTCAGAAAGTTGACAAAATTCAATAAAACCTATTTTTCAATTCCAAAAATATGGATAGTAAAGACTCTTTATGGCAGCAGGCCAGTTTCTAGTAAAATGATCTTTCACTACATTAAACACAGATTTTTCACCTGTTGAGTTCTGTATCTCCGTCCCTTTCAAAAATATATTTTCATGTTGAGCCATATTTTTGCCAGCGGTTGTCTGTTCTCACTAAACCATTTGCACCATATATTTTATTGAGTATTTTTTCACTTTAGAATGAGATATAACCATATTTCCTAAAATCAGTATTCAACATGTACTAATTTTAAGACGTACAAAAAGTAATTTGTAAAAATAAATACTTTATCTCTATTCCCTGCTTTAGGAGTATTTGCCACATCTTCTACTTTATAATCCAGCAGAACTAAAGCTTCTTTGTAACTGTACTGTTCACCCTATAATAAAGCACAAGAATACAATAAAGCAAAACTTAGAAACACAAATGTATAATTATCAAAGCACTAAAAAGTTATATGCAAATTTATATTAATGTTTATTATGCTTCAATGATTTACTTCAATGTTTTTCATAGTAATTTTGAAATTATGTAACTGGTCTTTTTCAAATTTTCTCTATAACACAGACTTAGCATGTTATTAGTAATCTATAAAAAGAATTCGCATGTAACATGTCAAAATCTGTATCATTTCAGAACCATGGAAATTCAAGTGGTTAATACACGTGGAAATTCAGAGCTAGAATACATTCAAATTCATCATGGAAATTTAAAATATGGATGTTAGATCAAAAATGCAATTTATTTTATATTTCTATACTACACACTGTGTCTGGATACTGTTTAGCATATAATGCATTATTTCCCCCTAAAAGATGAGAATAAAGATATATGTTCTAAATCAAACTGCTTGATTGGGGTCATCTCTTATAGGAAATTGATAATTCTATCCTAAATGTCAACAACTATACTACTTTCTTATCAAAATTACACATAGGATCAAAAGAAATGTAGAATTTTACATTCTTCCATAGAAACTAAAGAACTAATAATAAAATTAATTAATCTTATTTACATATAAACTAATCAATCTTATTATTAAAATTCAGTTCATATACCACATCTTTAAACTTCACTTTAATAAAAAACTGCTTTTCTTAAAAAATTTTTTTTTCTTTGCTTAAAAAAAATCAACTTCATCCAAAGTTCACTACTAAAATGTTAAAAGAACTGAATAATACATAAAGAAGACTTGTTTAAATTAATTAAATATGGAAAATAATACACTGTTGGGAAATTTTTTTAATGGCCATCCTTTAATTTGCAATACCCACCATAATTATTAATATTATTACACTTTCTCCTTAAGATAAAAATTAAACCTAAGAAAATTAAAGTTTTGTGATTCATTACTTAGTTTAAATAAAATATTCCGAGGAAATTTCATTCAAGAACAGATATTAAATGCTAAATTTAAATTATCTTTAAAAAAATTATATATAGCATCAGAAGATATTTATTACTATAAATAAATAAATAAAAACACATTTTAAAAAGTTCAGAAAATAACTACATATAAATTATGATGTTATCATTATCATTTAAAGAAATCAAGCCCATGAACTACACAAAATTGTTACCCCCCTCCCCCCAAAAAACTTTTTATTTAACCTAACAATAAGCTCAATCATTCATACTATGGAGGGAAAGTTTAACAGGTGGAAATGGTGCTACAGCTAACAAAAATTTCCATGTAGCAATAAAGTTATCAGAATATCTCTTAGTTTTTTTTTTTTTTTTTTTTTTTTTTTAACTTGCAGTAAAATGGAGAATGTATGAAACCAGGACACTGCAATCGCTTAATAAATCACAAGACATGTTCTGCATGAAAGAATCTATCTCAATCTTCTCTTAAAAAAAATTACTGCATGTGAAATTTATGAATGAATGCATCTGGCCTTTAGAAATTAGAAAAATTAAAATAAATACCAAGTTTTTTTAAAAACGAAATGTTGCAGAAGTTTAAAAAAAAAAAAAAAAAAAAAAAAAGGCTTACGTTACAAGAAAAATGCTTAAAATTTATCCAGAGAAATCCTCTGCTGTCATCTGTCAAGTTTTAATAGGATATCTCATATGCAAGCCCTCAAATAGCCTTTTTAATGAAAAAGAGGTTGAAAACCATAAGCAAAAATGCTGTATTAAAATGCAATATATTTTTTAAAAATAAATAAATAAATAAAAAATCGTGTACTTTTCAAAGAGGATCAATTCACAAAGTTAAAATAATCCACAACACGGCACTTTATGAGAAATCAACAATAGATTTCTCATAAACAGCCAAAGAGTAGGCCTGAACTTTTACCTGAACTTCTTGAGATCTAAAGTGTGACATCCACTTAAAGAGAAAGCTTTCAATAAAAGACATACCTAAATGAAATTCTTCTGATAAAGTATTCTTCAAGCAACATCTAAAATTCTATGGAAGATAATATGTAAATCAACTGACTAGTAGATAGAGTGTTTTTGTCTTTGTGTCCAGAAACAAGACAATTACAGTTACACAGAATAAATTATGTAAAATAATAAACATTTTTCAGATAGACTGTAAACATATATGCATATTTATGTTGTGGTTCTTTGTACAATCAACATGGTTAATAATACTTTTACGTTTTTGCGTGCGCGTTTTATGCATAACGGACGGTATAAGCTAAAATTATCTAATTATCTATTTCAGTTAATGTTGATGATTGCATTGTTCCTTAATTTTCGAATTGGACCCGGCTTATTATTTTTTGCAGACTGTAAGAGCAATACTATAAAAGTAAACTTGAACTTTCGATTATGTCAAATAGAATTTCCGATTCTGGAGCTCCCAAAGGATCGTACAAAACGAAAGTATGTTTCGATGTCCATCAAACAAAAAGTGGAATTGCTGCAAAAAATGGATAAAGGCCTGAAGAATGTGACAGAGAGGTTAGTGAAAATGAAAAAATTTCGATTAACAAGTTAGTCGGTATTCTCGGCACAGCAATTAACGGGACTTGAACAGAGGAACTTTGTAACTGAACAAAAAATTATGTCTGTTTATAGAATTAAAGAGAAAGTATTATCACATAAAACGAAGCAACTTAAACAACTTACATTAAAAGAAATGTTTAATAAAGTAAACAAATAAATATTAACCTTTTTTTTTTTTTTTTGTAAATTTTGATACCTTTTAGATCATAATTGTTCTTTATTTATAAATTACGGTTTCATATTTTTAATTTTAGAATTTCTGCATGCCATCTTATGCGATTTAAACTGATGATCTATAATACGGAAAAATCGATAATCCGGAATCGCCGAAGTCCCGACGAGTCCGGATTAACGACTTTTGACTGTATATTATTTTAAGTTGTGAAGAAGCCTGTTGTCAAAGAGATATGTTGACTCAAAAAATGCTTTCACTAAGTATTTTTGTATTGAATAGAATCCATTAGTTCAAATACTTCATCAATTTTAATTTCTGCACTTTGAGTGTTATATCATTATAATAAGTAATAATATCTAATTCAGCCTCCAACTTGCTAAAACATTATTTTTCCATTGACAATATCACTTCTGTTGGCTAATTCCAAGAAAGGATTTTTCGTGAACAATAAAATAGGTTCCATACAAAACATATCTTGCAGTCTTCTTTTAAATTCTTAGCTAAGTAATAGAAGTTTTTCAACATGCTTAGATGGGTCATACTCCAGAATAAATTCCAGGTCTAGAATGAGGGCATATGATGGAAAACACCGATAGTCTTTCTCCAATAAGTTGTTCTTCCACATATAAGTTTTAGCTAGAAAAGCAGATATTGAGCTCATCATTTTTTATATGTGTTTTCCTTTTCCTTGTAACATGATATGAACTTTTTAGGTCATTGGCTTCGCAGTGATGTCAGTTAAAAATGCCATGTCAGCAAACTACTAAATGTCATCCAATTTCTGGTCACCATTACCGTTGGGTATGAGGAAATTTTTAATCTCCAATAGCATTTGAACTAATTTTGTTAAAACTTTTCCTCAACCCAATCATCTTACTTCTGCATGGTAAACTGTACAACCTTACTTGAAGCAAAGTTTCAAAGATTTCATGATTTAAAGGCTGCCTCTGGATAAAATTTACAATGCACTGAATAACAATCATTACATAAGAGCCTGAATTTTTCAGGTGCCAGATTTTCTTGATGAATAACACAGTGATATGAATTAAATTTGGAAATTCTATCATCTTGCTTACAGAGCCCAATAAACCTAGTATTATTCCAGATCATAGCCACCGCACCCATGGGTGTGATTGTAGCGAGTTTTTTTATTGGTACATTCTTCTTCCAATAATACAGTTTTTAACTGCATCACATATGCAGCATATATCTTGCCTTCAAATGTGTTTTGCCAAAGTCAACAATGCTTCTTTCACAGAGAGTTCAGGTAATACTACTGACGTGAACATCAGAAGATGAGGTGTGCCAGTAACATCACTGTATTCATCAACCTGCAGGAGAAAATATGCATATTTTTCCAAAGCAGATCTTATTTGTATGTAGTTATCATTCACCATATTGTCCACTCATTGTGCCACCATTTATGACAGAGGCACATGTTTTATAAATGAGATTATTTTTGTTTTTGAATTTGTGAAATAAAGACATCATCAGCACAGCACAGTTTCATTTACAATGGCCCTGTCTAAATATGCCTTTTTATATGATGCAAGAATGTAACTCACTTTGAAAGGTTATTGTTTCATTTTTTAGGGTACAAAGATTCCTTTGTTGAGCTTTTACAGAAAATTTCAATGATTGAACTTTATGCCTATGTAAAGCAGACCCTCAGTAGACCACTAAAAGCCTTATGAATGGTTCTTTGATGACATTCAACATTCAGTTGCTTTGGTAAGGCTACTGAAGTACTGCATAATAAACAAACTGCTTTTTTGCCAAGGTTTGTAAATAACGGCTCTTCCTTCCATTCATTAATGAAGTGGCAGTAAGTTTTCTTCTCTTCGATATTTCTTGCACATCACTGATATCGACAAGCATACCAAAAAATATACAAAATAATTAGTATTAATTACTTTAAAACTTGTCAGAAACAGCACAGTTTGGTAGCTGTTACCATGCTTTTATCAACTTATTTCAAACTGAACTACACAACCAACTTTGAGATGAAAAAGGAAAAAAAAAAAAAAAGAAAGAAAGAAAGAAAAACACTTTCAGATATACAGCATTATTAAATTCTTCAAATCCTGACTATCTGACCTGTACTGTAGGTGTTAAGGCAACAAGAATTAGGGTAATATTCATAAATTTGCAGAGATGCCAGTGATAAGATAACACAATAAAAATGAGAAGAAGGAAGTCAAGCTACTGGAACTCTCTATTGATGAAAAATAAAAACAACTCTGAAATATTTTCCTTAAAAGCTGAGGGTAAAGCAGGATTGGAATTGGGATCGTTAACTAGAACTGAAAGATTTTCATACATGTGAAACAGAAATGAGAAAATCTAATTTGCCAACGGAAGATGTGTTTTAAATAATTTTGGCTGCAGAAAAATGGAAAATGGGTTTTCTGACCAACAGTTTGGGGCAACAAGAGATTTGTGTGTTTCTTTTTCCCAAATGCATGGGAGGTCTCCTTCCATCTGTCCACACTGTTGGATTAAAATTTTTCTGTAACAGTTTCACTAATTTTTCCCTCTTAATGCTTTAAGTTTAATTTAGAGTTCCTTTTTTGCATCAGATTGATTTGCACTTTTCCTTATTTGAATTCATCGGTAGACTTTCTCTTTAACTTTGACTAGTCATTTGTTATGTTATTTTAATTCAAATATATTTAATCTGACTTAAACAAGCATTAAAGAAACTCAGGTATCAGTAACTTTGAAAAAAAATTCTATTATTTCCTTAAGAGGTGGTAGGCAGGACTAGGGTTTGTTTTCTGTTTTGATACAATGAGGTAAAATGCATGCATCACTGAATTCATCAATGAGTAGACATGTGTGAATACAAACCAGATAGCTGTTTATTAACAAGATTGATGAAACCCCTAAGTTACCTTCATTCAGTATACCATATTTCCCTCTTACCTTTTTAAAGACAAGTTTTAAAAATTTATAAAATATTTGCATAATTCTCTTCCTCTATTGTACATAGCTTTTCCTTTGAGGGATAGTTTATGGTAAATTGTACACCCTTGATTATTTTTATTTTTATTCACAGTATTCAATTTATATTTGCATTTTTGTATTAGCATTTCATCCATTTTATGTTCCCTTGTTTTTATTACTTAAAACATACTTCGTGTGAATTTTTCTTTAAGCTACCCCCAAATGTGGCAGGTGTTCTCACACTTAAGAAATATTTTAAATATGATTTCACCTTACTTCCATTATTTAAATATTATCTCATTGTAGCCCTATCTATCTACTGCTGATGTGTCTGATCTTCTGAAATCCTGATCTTTTTTCGCCTTGTTTCTTTTTCATTCTTCCACTGTCCCTTGTGGAAACTGCAGTCAAGGTGGTTTTATGTGAGGTTCCCCTCAGGCTTTATGAGGTAAATGAGACAGACACATTTTGTTACACAATACGTTCATAATGTAATATTACTAAGTATTCTTATTGGCATATAGGTTTCTTTAAAAAATTAATATTTGATGGTTTCCAGCAGTTTATACATTACTACTTTTTATTTGTTAGGTTTTTAATATAAGTGCATTCCTTGAAAAAGGAAATAATTAAATTTTAAAAAAAAAAAAATTTTAATTACTTTTACAATTTTTTCTTTTTCATTTTGGACAATATAATTAGTTCAAAAGGGGAAGGAAGTATGCAAGGAAATACAATATTTATAACTATTGCTAAATCCTTACCCAAAGAATTTTATCCATTATCTAAAGCAGCATGAAAAACAAATATATACATCTATAAAATAAACCCTGCACACAAAACTTAAGAGTTCAAACTATTACAAATTAATAGTTTAATTGCACCAAATACACACACATACACACAAAAAAAAAAAAAAAATGTAGGTATTGAAAAATGTTACATTATTTTGCTCCTAAACAAACAACAAAAACAAAAAAAAAACTTTTTTGTTACAAATATAAATTGGTTAAAATTTAAAAATTAATTCCAAATACATACTCTTGTTGATTTACACATCAGCATTACTTTGTCGAAGATAAATACATATCTGTAAGAGAAAAGAAAAATTTCACAATACATTTAAGAAGTTATAATTCATAACATAACATACAAAAATCCAGTATAAAAACAACAAAATTAAATGCATATATTGTTTATGTGAGGAAAAAAAAAAGTTTTAGATAAGCATCACATAACCAGCAAATACAATCATAATCACATAAAAAAATAATAAATATTCAATAAAAGCAAACAATCATCACTGAAGCTTTCATTTTTAGGAGACTGATGATGAAAATCATGGCAAAATTAACCACGTTTTTATGCCTCTGTTTAAAAATACCTAGGCAAGTAGCAAAATAAACTCAATGTAATATGAGCTAAAACAACTATATCCAGAATTTATATACCATGACAGGTAGAATAATAAGCTCTTGACGTGAAAAGCATGCATTCTGTAACAGATCAACAAATAAATATTTATTTACAATAGACCTGCGTATAAATAAAGTTTACTTTCCTCAATTCCTCAAGGACAATGCTATCTCATTATAAAGAGGAGACAAATAATCTTCATTAAAAAGCCATTCACATTATGTTAAAAATGATAAGTTTACAAATGAAAAAAAATCACTATATATTATAAGAAGACATTATGAATATATGTACTTAATACAAGACTTCCATGCCATTTCAATAACAAGAAAACAAATAGAAAATTAAGACACAGAATAGAAAAATATTTTTAAAAATGTATAAAACATATAATATAAAATGTAAAATGGCATGTGTAATGCAAAAAACATGCATAATGTGATCAAAGAATTAATGGATTGAGCTTGTCTTTTTTTACCAGGCAATTTCAAAAGGCGGAAGACACAAGTTCTTTATGCTCAGTATAAGTTTTATGTTTGTAAGAATCCATATAATGTGGACATTACTTTTTTATATAATTGTTTTGTTTTGTGCGGTGAAAATGGAAAACAATACTTTCATAAAGCAATAAACTAAAGTGAAATTTCTTATCAAATTTGAGTAAAATAGAACTGAGACTAATAAAATATTGAAGTTAATACATGCCGAAATCCATTATGCAATGATCACATTCTATAAATGGGTTAAATATTTCTAAGAAAGGCAAAAAGACATAGATGACAATATGACAGGACAGCCTTCAATTGAATGCACTACCACAAACATCCCTCGTACACTGCCTTATGTGCACATGATTGACAACCAAATGTTAGAATGGTAACCAAAGAGTTACACTTAAGACATATAACAGTTCACAGTATAACAGTTTCTTAATCAAGAAACTGGAAATGGGAAAACTGTCAGTAAAAAATAATCCAACAACTAAACAAGAATGTAAAAAAAAAAAAAAAAAAAAAAAAAAAAAAAATGGGGACACCATGATTTTCTTGCATAACCTCTTAAATTATACACATTTTTGCTTCACTTCATTTAAACTTATTTCTACGAATTTCATTACAGGTTCATTTCTAATTCAGTCAATTCAGTTCTCACTTTGTGGGAACTCAAAGGGGGCGGAATGCATAAAAACTCAAACTTCATTAAAAATTGGAAAATACAGAAACACCTAAGACACCAAATACAGTTAAAAAGAGAAAGTACTTTTACAAATAAAATTAAGAGTTTCTACACAAAAGCGAGCAATTTGGCCAGCTGGCAGGAAGACAAAATTTTTGACGCACAAAACTGAAAGTTACCTTATAATCATACAGGGCAGAAAAACACCAGAGTTGGTGCATCAACTGACTTGATTCACTACTCTACTAAATGTTTCAAATGTAAACAAATGGCAGCCTCGCTAGCCCTTGCACCACTTAAAACTTTTAAATTGTTCATAATTCTACAACTACTGCATGCAGTTTAACTAAAGACATACACTTCCTACTGCATGCAGTTCAATCACTTTTAAAGCATAAATTATACAATTTACCAACATGTAACAATAAAGAAAAAAAATTAAGTTACCTAGCTGGGTAACACAGTGGGAATATACATTTGGTGAGGCGGATTGCAACAAAAAGCATTGAAGTGCAACTACATGTTATAGCAATTCCATACACAAAATTTCAGTGTTCTACAGCTACTCATTTTTGAGTTATGCTATAAGATATTTCTCCCACTTTCTTAGCATGCCTTCATGGTGTAGTGGTCAACACACTCAATGCGTATTCGAGAGGTCAGTGGTTCAAGCCCCAGCGAGGGCATGGCAAGTTATTCTTCGATTTCCTGCTTAAAAAAAATCCCAATGTCTCTACAATGTGTGATACGTACAAACAGATGTCATGAAAAATTCTCTTTTGGTCATTTTACAATTCATTTAGGAGGGGGAAGAGTCCCTTATTTTGTTCTTACATACAGATATCAAGCAAAAAAGAACATTGTTCAAAATGTATTTTTTTGTTAAAATATGGTACCTGAAATTTTTTGTGATTACAATTCTTCCTTTACTTCATACAAAATTATGAAAAGCACTCTCTTGACTGGGCAGTGCTTTTTCAATGATCTTAATAAGATGATTATGATGATCGAGTTACAAATTTGATTTAAGTTAGACAGTAAAGAACAGATAACAAAATTAGAACCAAGAACAAAAAAACCTCAAAGAAACAGATCTGAAACCAAAATTATGGTCATTATTTTTTCAATATTTGTGGAGTTGTATACTATAAATTTCTCCAGAAGGACAGAATAAAAATGGAGCTTACACTGTGAATACAAAGAGACTATGAGATGATAAAAGGTGTCCACAAATGCTGGAAGGCAATAGATAAATTATGAATTATAACAATGCTCCATCACACACAGCATTAACTGTTCATTAAATCTAAGCTTGTATTTCAATCATTGTGCTTATATCCTCATCATTACTCTGATCTGGCTCTCTCACAACTTTTTTCTGTTTCCGAAAATTAAAATGATTCTGCAAAAGCAGCATGTGGGAAATACATAAAACATCTGGATTGAAGTCATAAAATGGTTAAAGGACCTATCAGAAAGAGATCTGCTGCACTGATTCCAGCAATGAAAATTACACAAGGAAAAGTGTGTTAATAATGGAGAGCACTATTTTGGAAGTGACTTTAAAATTATACCTGAATTTAATAAAATAGTAAGTTTCATAAAATTAAATTTCCACAAACTTCTGGACAGACTGAGTGTATATGTATATATATATGTCATAATGAAAGCAAAACAAGGAAAAGGAAATGACGGAGCAGTGTCGATGCGTGATTAGACCCATATTGAAGAAGAATTTTGATTGCATAGTATTTAAAGAACTTGGCAGTCGAGGCAGTTTTAATTCCATTTTTATTTCCAATTGATATTTGTGGCCACAATCACTTGGCACTCTAGTCGTGCCTTTCCACAGAAGAATTAATTTTTTGATATTGTTGGGATAGAAAGCAAGCCAGCGAAATCACATCTTAGCACAGAAGCGAGCAAAAGCTGAAGTGCATAGTTATGCAAGATGGAAGCATGCGAAGAGAAAAGTTTTGGTTTACAATTCGGTGATTGGTTGTCAAGAGGCATCTGGTATTAACGGTTGCGTAAGATCGCATGATTAATCTGAATGACGCAATGCAGATAAGTTATTACGATTTTAGAACAGAGAGGAAGAATTAATGTTTATAGTTATAATTCTGATTCATACATTTTTATCTTACATATATATATATATATGTAAAATATAAAAAAAAAGAAAAAAAAATACGATGGCTTTGCTCTTTGCGAACCAGCAAACTTTAATTAATTTTCTGCAATTCAGCATCTCCCCTTAGACCATTACCTTCTAGAACATTCGCAACTATTACATAACCTCCTCATATAAATGCTGCGTCATAAGTTAAGTTTTTCTACATTTTTTCTACGGTTTTTGACTGTATTTATTTTTCAATTTTAATCCACAAATTTGGGAATTTAAAAGCAATGTGTTTTCACTGCATGAAATAAAATACTTTTAACTTCAATATGGCAGAATGATGCTATCCAGTAAAGCATACGATGTTTTACTTTCAAATTAATCTGTCTCTTAATGAATAACAAACTAAGTAATTCTAGTATTACTAATACAAAAAAAAAATTATTTTTAAAAAACTAAAACCATTTACCTATTCTGAAGCCTATGGTCATCATGAGATTTTATTAAAAGCAATAAACACAGTTCTTAAAAATAATTTTCTATTTTTTAATCACACTGATTGAAATAAAAGTACATTTACCAGAAACCTTCTCTCCGCTTAATTTTTTTTTTTTTTTTTTTTTTTTTTTAATTTTTTTTGAAAAAGGAAAGGCAAAATTATACTTATAAAAAGTATCGCAAATACTAGAGATTGAATGTTATTAGATACAAGTATTTACTTAGTTTAATATTAAAATCATAAGGCAACAAAAAATGGACTTCTAAAAATCACCAGGTTCTACAAGCTTATGATACCTTTATATAAGAATACCATAGCATTTTCAATATCATATAAAGCACCTAAAATAATTTGTCTTTATTTGTATGTTGAATTTACACTACTTATTAACTTAAAGAATTAGAAAATGAAATTATATATATAATCATTTCACAATTAAATTTTCCCTTCTTTCTTCCTTTGCTTAAAAAAATCTACAGGATTAAAGCTTACCACACTTTGTTTACCTGTATCAAAAGATTCATGTGATTAAATAATCTCCCCCATTTTTTTTTAACATACTATGAACATTTATGAAGGTGTTTTAAATTCACTGAAGTCCCATCACCTTTTTTCATGATGATATTTGATATGGGTCCTTTGTAATCAAGGCTTTATATGCAGAAAATATTTTGAAATTGTTTAAAAATTACATTGTCTGACAAAGACAATTCAATTAAGTATAAAAGAATACATTAAATGAATAAAAGATATGAATACATAAACATAACAAAATAAAATTTTCCCCAAACTTTTTCACTTAATACTAGATTCAAAAGAAAGTAATTTGAGCTTACTTATTAAACTAATACAGAGACTGAGATTACTATAAAGAAATTTATTCATGTAAAAGAAAACCACATGAGTTTATATTGCAGAAAGGTACATTATCAGAAATTATTAAAAAAAAAAAAAAAAAAAAAAAAAAGCATTTACCTATTCTTAAGCCTATGGTCATCATGAGATTTTATTTTCAGCTCACCATCTTTCAACAACCTTCCATAATCTTTCAGTTCAAGATCATCAGGCTGTAGGAAAGGAAATGTGCAATGCTCTTTTTATTATTAAAGCACTATTATGTCACAACAACAACAACAAAAAAATGAATAAATGCAACACACATATATAAGGAATAAAATATTTAGTGTAAATATACTATTTTTAAAATATTTTATTTACTCATTAAAAAAAAGTAACACCCTGAAATTTTGTTTCAGTATTATGTTAGCATCTGGGGATATTTAAAGCAATAAATTTATTTATTTCAATTTTTAATCAATCAGAGAATATGGTGGTGAAATAAAAGGAGTAAACTAATCTTAACTTCTGAATTTCTACATATTAAAACTCTGCCCGTTGTTTTCTATTTTGAGATAAAGATTACCCTAGTTTCAGATACTAACCAAAACAATTTTCCTCAAACAGACTAAATAAGGTTTAGTCAGAACCTTATATACAGCTGGTTGATTGCTGTGGTGTATTTATTATAAGAGAAAATCAACAAAATGGAACACCTGTCATGCAAACTTCGAGAAAATATTTAGAAGAAAGAAATGTAACTTGTTGTACAGATAGTGGAACACAAGATAAACATCTATCTAATTTCATGTTGTAATATACAGTTAGTGATATTATGCAGACTATATGAAGACACTTGGATAAACCAGTATCAATTGGCTGTGTATAGGTTGACAGTCAAGCCATCTTTTGCAATGATTCTCATTAACTGACTAGTTAATTTTGTAGTTGAACTATCCTTCATGAAGGTTACCATTGAAAGTATATGCATAGAACCCACCATTTTTAAATCCCTGCAATTATGTCACATCAAAGCTATGTAAAAGGATGAACAGCAAAATGTTGCCTTCAATGTTCCCTTGATTCTCTCTCAACAATGATGATTGCTATTTAGTTGAGAAATAAACCACCAATTCTGCTCACCAAGATGAAGTTATAGTTTGAAATACATCATCAAGAGCAATCACCAACAGTATCAACAACCTCAGTGCATGCAGAAAAGATAAAATGATGGCACACTAAAATATTCATAGATGCTACACTACAATGCAGTCTAAACATAACAAATCATATTTATCAGCAGTATACAATATGCCTACATTCAGCTAACATCAATAAACATCTTTTGTAAAATATAAAAGTAGTTCCCTGGCCAGCACAATCCCCAGATCACTCGTCAGTCGAGAATCTATAGAACATGATTTGTCAGCATATGAATATTCTCCCATATCCTCCCAATAAGGATGAACTAGGACTTTGGTTAACCCTCTGACCAGCAAGACCATATATACATATAAACAACAGCAACTCACTTTGGCATCCTTGCCATAAGTTCTTCATAGACAACTGGAGACAGGTTGGGTGTATGAGTAATGTGAGGGTGCAACTGCCATGTAAGGGTGGCGTGTAATGCCATGTAAAGATGCAACCTATCCGAAGTTATATTCAGGAAGGGGGGGACAATTGCTTGCCTGGAGAAATCGCGATTCATCCAACCAGGCAACTGTCTTCCACTTATCCATGGTCCAGTCTCAATGCTCTCAGGCTCACTGCAGATGCAGCTGACCATGATGCTTGGTCAACAGAGGTACATAAGTGGGATGTCTGTTGCACAGTCCCATATCCAAAAGTGTCTGCTGAACTAAGTGTTCCAAAACACTTGCACTTGAACCCACACTGTATTGGGCTGTCAGCTGAGTCACTATCTAGTGTCGATTTTGCAGCACCAAGCAAAACAGTCTCTGACGTCCTGTTTGTTTGATGACATGTCGAGATCCAACACCTTGGCGTCTGCTGCTGGTTTCACCAACACTCATCCACTTTGCATAAATAATAACAATGGTACATTGCGAACAACCTACCCATTGTACAGTTTTGGAAATACTTGTTCCGAGTTTTCGGGCCATTACAATCTGCTCTCTATCAAATTCACTTAGATCAGCAGCCTTTCCCATCACTTGAAAAAGTAAGTGCAAGAATGATTCCTTACCTTCTCCAGCAGCAGTTAAATAACATTTGCACTTAATCACATGCCCTCCCCATCATCTAGCTGAGTTCACTGAAAAATGTGGGAATGGTCATAATGTTTGGCTCATCAGTGTACAGGGTATAACCTAGGATATGTTTTGTAATGTCTTTAAATAAATATATATATATGCATTTTGAAATTATGTTTAAGAAATTAAAGCAGCATTTTAAAAGATAAAGATTTGTCAAATACGAGTCAAATTCTCCACTACTAGGGCAAAAGAGCTCCCGTGTCAATTCCAACTCTTTTCAAATTTGCAAGCATTGATTTGCTCTCTTAAGATCACTACAGATTCCAGATATAAAATACAAAAGATTTTTTTTTTTTTATTCTAATTTAAAAAAAAAAAAATACCCCATTCTCATGAAAGTTTGGAGACTTTCGAGTTTCAGAGTCAAACCCTCTGTTGGTTGAAGGGTTAATACCATATGATCCACAGAATTTAAGTACTCATTTAAAGTCACAATTAAAAAATATGTCTCCCAAAGTGCCTGCCCTACAGCTTGAAAGAGCTTTATAATGGCCAAATGAACAAGATTGCTGAAATTCAATCCAGATTCAAATCCTGATAAATGGCCTAAGAAGGAATTTTTTATGGCTTCCTTACGTAAAATCCAGTTTTGGCAAAAAGGTCTTTAGAAAGACACAGTTCATGCACTTAATCAATCAACTAATCAGCTTAAAATATTGACTGCTGCATTTTGGAAACAGTGCCTTACCTTCACTGCATAATCAAAATAATTTATAATTTAAAACAGAAATCAAAAAGCCATCAATTTTCAATATGCATCAAGGGAAATAAATTCAGATTTAACCTTCAAAAAAAATTCTAACCTAATAACCACCTCTCTAAAAAATATTATTCTAATCTCACCCTCTTTCCAGTGTTGGAATAGCTATGGTGCGCTCTTTCCATTTTTCAAATGTATTACATTTTCTACTACACTACCAAGACATTTATCATTTATGTGACTCAGCAGAAATGTTGTTCCATGAAACACAAAACGCTTCATAAACTGTAAGTTTTCATATATGTTGCATTCATTGTGATTTAATATCATTATCTTTCAAATTAAATGTATACTAAGTGAGCAATCTGAAAGCAATATATGCATGTTTAATAATTTGATGTAAATAATACATTATATTATTTTTTATCAGGATGATTCAGGATCGATATCTCATCCTTAAAAAAAATTAAATAAAACATCCTCAGGAAAAATAAAATATAAATGTAAATGTAAGGTTATGGCTTGATCTCAGTATATTGGTTCCCATGTTAATTGTGTGGGAAAAAAAAATAAAACTAAATTATTATTTTTATGTAGAATCTGGAAAAAGCTAAGAGCTTATTTTAAAAAGATATTTCTTTCTTGAAAATCATATAAATGAGCCAGACTGCCTTTAAAAAATCTTTCAGGAAGGTATTCTTTTCCTTACGCAGAAGGTCTGTAAATGCTTTGTTAAATTCAATCTTTTCCTGAATTGCAATTTGCTTGTAACATGCATTGTAACATATATTGGTTCCCATGTTAATTGTGTGGGAAAAAAAAATAAAACTAAATTATTATTTTTATGTAGAATCTGGAAAAAGCTAAGAGCTTATTTTAAAAAGATATTTCTTTCTTGAAAATCATATAAATGAGCCATTTCCAGAGAAGTTCATGCGAGTTAAAAATAAAGAAAAATTATTTGATTTAATTTTCAAATTAGTGATTTATTCTTCTACAAACATTAAAATTTTACATTTCTCTGTTCGCAAAGATTATTATGATTTTTTTTTTAGATTTCGATACCATTCAACAATTATAAATGGGGAAGAAAGGAATAAATTAGAAGAAAATGCTTGACTTCCTTAAAAAAAGAATGCTCAGTTGCATTATACAAGAGTTTAACATCTGTACACACAGAAACAAGTTTTCCTGAATATACAGCAAGAGAAATAAAAGTTCTTATTCATATTTATATGCAAGCATATTAATTACAGAAAAAATGGAAAATTATCACCAATTTACCTCTCTCTTAATTATGACTTTTCATGAAAATATGTTTCCTTACTTTTAAAATAATGTAACTAAGAAATTGTGGCTAAAAAAAATTAGTTGCAGTTTTCAAAATTTTCTGAATCCTAATATGCACCTCACACTCTCGTGCAGTTTGGCTACTTCCTGGTAACTCAATACAGAATAATTAGTAAAGTGCCACCAAACAATATTTTTTATAAACAGTATAATTTTTTTATTTTTATACAATCAAACTCAGTATTTGCTTAAATATACAGATCTCTGATTATCCCACAGTAAAAGAGAGGGGGAACACTGTGCTGTAAAAATTCACAATTACTATTACAACTATTATAACCACTTGATTTAAAAATGTTTTTGATAATTTAAGCAGACAGAAACATTACTTCAGATAAATTTATATTTCACTAACATAAAAATTCTTAACTATTCACCATTCCACAACATAAGCAAACAGCCATAAAATTATACTTAAAAACTAAAGAAATGTATTTGAAAACTATAATGAAATAATTTCAAAAAAGAATAAGAATTTTACAATGACTTTACCATATGTAGGTCAGTTATACTGGCTTGAATGTCACGAATGATTTGTAATGTTTCATTATCTCTCTTGACTTCATTGATATATTGAGCCAAGTCCTTTAAACATAAATACAGATTTAGTATATATATAGCTATATTACAACAAAAGGAAACAGTAATGATGGTAACTGAATCCCAACATTCAACAACGTTAAACCGAATGCTAATAGATAGCAAAAAGATATATCCAGAGTTTCACCTGCACATAGAAGGCCAGCAAGACTAAAAATTCATTAATTCATATATTCTTTCAATATTAATGCATTAAAGCATATATATATATATATATATGTGTGTGTGTGTGTGTGTGTAATAGTCTGTCTAATAGCTCTTGGACAGCAAAAATTCCTTTTTCCTTTCTTAAATTCTTAATCATTGCGATACAACAATTAGCCAGAAATTAATTAATTTCCATTCACTAGTATTTTCAAAAAAAAAAAAAAATTCTTAACAGATAGTCTCACTCAAATAAGAACTCCACATAATACATCCCTCAAGAATTCCAAGTCCCACCCACTACCATAAATTACTTCACCCAAGTCTTACCGCCTGATATTATTCAAAGCCCCCACTGCCGCTAAGAATTTTCGGACACCCTACACTTATGAGTAAGACACGAGAGAACACTTTGCCAACTCCCCCACTAGAAAGAATGTAAGTTACTTAATACCTTTTCTGGCCTTTATATCTTCATGTACATTCACTGTTCTTATTATATCTTATTTTTTATATTATTTTTATATTGTCTTTGATTTGTTTTACAAAGTTTGCATTATTTATCTTATTATTAATTATTTTTTATATTATTTTTATATTGTCTTTGATTTGTTTTTACAAAGTTTGCATTATTTATCTTATTATTTATTATTTTATTTTTTTATATTATTTTTATATTGTCTTTGATTTGTTTTTACAAAGTTTGCATTATTTATCTTATTTTGCAATCTTCTATGTTTATTTCAACTTTACTTTGAATTCGATTTCATAATGACAATTTTCAATGTTTAATATTTACAAATAATATAGAACTCAAATGCATAAACATGAAAGTGTCAGGGATGGTTACTCGGGTTAATTAAGATTTCTCTACAGTAATTGCTTTTTACTCCAAATTGAATTGACTAAAATGCTTCATAAGAATAAGCTCTTTGAATATCAGCATTGGTTCATAATCACTTCTATTCGCGGAAATATTTGGCCTGACTAGAATTGCCGGTTTGGCTTTAACTTATAACTCGAGTAAAGATGAAACACTTTCGTATTTACGTATTTTTATCAATTATTGTTCATTGAACAGGAGTTGGTTTGTTCCCCTTGAAAAGTCAACTAATTTCCGATCAATTACAATGATTACATGTTTTTAATTTTTCCTTTTACAATTGAAATTTTATTATTCATGATGATTTAACTCCATTCCCCGTTAGAACATTATTAACATTTTGCTTTCAAATTACTTCAAAACATCTTTCAAAATATAACTTACCAGTATGGATTCACTCTTTTAAGATAATTCTACTTTAATTAAACTTAGGAGATAATATAATCAATTAATCAATACTGTTTAGGAAATAAATTATTATATATATGTATGAATGTAGTACAGTACAAAGTCTTTAATCCAGACATCCACAGTCCTGACTTCAGAGCTACAAACTTTCTGCGCAAGCGCAGCGTTTACGCGTGCGCATATGCGTTTACACGTGCACATAATACCTTTACGCATGCGCATATGCATTTATGCATGCGCATAATATGTGTTTACACATGCGCATGATATGTTTACGCATGCGCATAATACTTTTACACATGCGTGTTTAATGTATAACGGACGGTATAAGCTAGGCTAAAATTATCTAATTATCTATTTCAGTTAATGTTGCAGATTGCATTGTTCCTTAATCTTCTAATTGGATCCAGCTTATTATTTTTGCAGACTGTTAGAGCAATTTTATAAAAAGTAAGCTTGAACTTTTGATTATGTCAAAAAGAGTTTCCAATTCTGGAGCTGCCAAAGGATATATCTACAAAGCGAAAGCATGTTTTGATGTCCATCAAACAAAAAGTAGAATTGCTGCAAAAAAATGGATAAAGGCATGAAGAAAGTGACAGAGAGGTTAATGAAAACGAAAAAATTTCGATTGACAAGTTAGTCGGTATTCTCGGCACAGCAATTACAGGACTTGAACAGCGGAACTTTGTAACTGAACAAGAAATTATGTCTGTTTATAGAATTAAAGAGAAAGTATTAGCACATAAAACGAAGCAACTTAAACAAACAGATATTAAGTTTATTAAGTTTTTTTTTATTTTTTTATTAAATTTTGATACCCTTTAGATCATAATTGCTCTTTATTTCATTAACTACGGTTTCATACTTTTAATTTTATGATTTCTGCATGCCATCTTACCAGACTTAAATTGATGATCTATAATCCGGAAAAACACCTAATCCGGAATCGCCGCAGTCCCGACAAGTCCGGATTAAAGACTTTGTATTGTAGTATGTATTTGTGTATTTTCAGTATTCTTTAAAAATGTATATTATTTTTAGACATTACAACTATAAAGAATACATTTTCACAATTCTGGGGGGGGGATTTTTAATAAATTTTACTATGCATACAAATAGCAAGAAAAAATCAAAAGTAGAATGAATGACGTATTTCAGTTATGGTTTGTTAGGATTTCTTCTTCATGATTGAAGCTCCCAATAACATTAATCTGCATGGTTTCCAAATAAAGCAAAGCAGCATCATTGGATAAAAGCTTGAAATTTCCCTCATTGCTGTGAATTAAGTGAACCGCATAATTTATGTAACATACGAAAGCCATTTGTTGAAGAATAACATATCAGAAAGATTATTTACAAATACTTTCCTATTTTTAGGACAAGGTATCAAAATTCTACTGAAAGCACAGCATGGATGAAAATGTGAACACTTAGTGAGCAAATAATGGTTGTGCATGTGGTATTACGGAGTGATATCAGTATGCTGTTCAGGCTGGTAAAAAATAAAATGCAATAATAAAGCAGATCACATCCTAAGTAGACAGCATGGAAAAAACTTAAGACTCCAAATGTATTATCAGACATCCTGCCTTATAATGCATCTACAGAGATCCAGATTAATCTAATTAATCTCAATTCCTCTTATTATGCTTATTATTTTGTTATTCATTCATTAATCTAAATAATCTCATTCCTTATACATACTTGCCAACCTATGAAACTCAGAAATCAGGAGATTTTTTTAAGAAATCAGGAGATTTTTCACAATGTTAAAAAGACTTTTTAAATGATAAAAATATAGTTTTTAACAATGAATTAACTTTAAGTAGTAACTAATTCTTAAATGCAAGCAACTCAAAAATACCTTACACATAAAAAAAAAATTTTATTACATGCATCGTTTAAGAAAAAAAAAGACACTTTAATAAGTTTTTTGTACAAATGTTATAAACAGTGGCAGATTTTGCTTTCTTTACGAAAGAAACTTCATCATTTTGTTCACAGCAATTGCCACGTAGGCCTGCTTTCGCTAATAAAAGTTTTTCTAATGTGCCATCTCTAATATTAGATCTAAATTTAATCCTCGTTTTCGCAACAACACTGAGAATCCTCTCACACTCTGCATTACTATGGGAAACTGTCAAGATGGCCAACACAATTCTAGACAGTTCACTATATTTTAAAATTCCATCAGCACCTTTCAGTTTTCCAATTAAACTCCACTGGTGTCAATCGTAGCTGATTTTATAACTTCATCCAAGTTTTCTAATTGTAAACTGCTGTTATGCAGCTGTTGGAACTGTTTCAATTTTTCCTTCCTTTTAGAACTCCTTTCAAGACAATAATAAGTATCAACAATGTGTTCATCCACATTTATTGGTAAAGAAGCTGCCCCTTTTTCAGCTGCTAAATTTAAGAGGTGACAGCTGCACCTCATAATCTGAAATTTCCTTTCTTAAGATGCCTGCAACACCAGCCTTCCAAGCCTACCAATACTGGTGCATTATCGGCACCAAGTGCTAAGCAATTATCCAGAGTGCCTGCAGTTTTCTTTTAAAGTTTTAATAATTAGCTGTGCTATATTAAAGCCTGTCAAATGTCCATCTAAAGTGGGAACATAAAGTAAACTGCACTCAATTTCTGAAGACTCTGGATCAAAAAAAGAAACAACAATTGGATACAGTTTTGAATCGGTATTATTGCTTCCATCCGTAGAGAGGCAGACCGGAGCTGTTTTAATGCAATCAATAACTGAGAATTTATTTTTCAAACCCATTTCTTTAACAATTGCACCTGTTTTGATTCTTGCACCTTGAGTATTTCTTAGCGATTTCACTATCGGGAAACATTTTTCTAAATAAAGCTGCAGCGTGATCCGATGCATTCAGTGGCAGGTTGTGCTCCAGTAAAAAGGCAGAGAACAGACATTCTACATTAATAACTTTTTGGTCCTTTGTTTCCGAAGAAAAATTTAATTTTTCATCTTTTTCAAAACAACTCATGTTATCCTTGTGTTTTTGTGTACGCACATGTTTGAGAACATCCGCCCTTCCAACATACGAAATCGAAAAATCTCAACGACAGGCGGTACACATCGCAAATTTATTACATTTCCTTGAGGAAATAATGGAAGGAAAGTCAATTGTGTACGATTTTTGAAATGTACACGAGTACTTCACCTTTCTCGCAGACGTAACAAAAGATGATAATTTCTAAAACTATTTCCATAAGGCACAAGTACTCACACAACTCAGGCCAAAACGAACAAAATAACTAAAGAACGTCCAAATAACAATTTGCTTTGTCCTCATTGGCTAATGTATGCCAGCTGACACGCAGTGGAGCTTGAAGCCCATTGGAGAACTGGAGAACGACGTTTCTGGATACATATAATGCTCTCACTCACAAAGCAGAAACTATCTCATTCGCAAGGTTTTGTTTTAGATAATGGAGAGAAAATTCAATTGCTTTCAGACGTCCAAAAGCACTTTTTTTTTATTCATATAACAAAGTATTAAGCCAAGTTGCATAAAAATCATGAGAAATTTTAAGAATAAGGAAAAGTCGGGAGAAATATATTGTAAATCGGGTTGGCGGGAGAGCGGTCGAAAATCGGGATTCTCCCGCCTAAATCGGGAGAGTTGGCAACTCTGCTTATAGTTTCACCCTCATGGGTGGATACCAATAATCCACTACCATCAAGACATAAGGAACAGGGAAATGAGTTTTAGATAATCTAGTAGTTTCATGATTTCTAAATTTACTTCTTAGAGAATTTCTTTTTACAGATTTTGAATGAAATTTATTTATGAATCCAGAATTAATGTTAAAAATAAAGTTGTAATAAACTAAGCTCCGAATTTCTCAAACAAATTTCCAGCATCTAAAAGAATCAATTTCTTAGTTAACAAATATTAATATAGATACACTTTAAAACTCACAACTTTTAAAGAGATTTTCTTTTGAAGGAACACAAATCTTGTATAAATATTATATAACAAATAAATACATATATTAAACTATAGTGTATTTAATCACTTACCAGCATAGCCTCTAAAGCTTTTTGCAAGCTAAAGTAGTCATCATGTGTTTTTGGTGTATTTCTGATTAATTCCTGAAACAAAAAAATAGGGGCATTTAAATAAAATGAACTTTAAAGTGTATATAGTATAGGTATAAAAACAAAATTAATATGTTTAGACTTACTTTCAGTAGTAAGTGATATTTGAGAATCCTCTGCATGGGAACAGATAGAAGATCTCTAAGCTTGAATTTACCACCATTGGCTTCTTGCTGACACCGCTAAGCGATGAAATCAAAATCATAACATTAATTTTACACTAATGAGTGAGCACAAATAAACCACAAATAAAATCACTTATTATCTTACTTCAACAATTTTTCTAAATAATGTCTATAAAAATATTAACATCATCAGTCACAGGTACTTCTATATCTTAGATATTATTTTACTATTGTTGGCCCATTTTCAAATTTTGTTTACATGTGCTGTCCCAGAAGTAAAGAAAGAAAATTCAGTATAAATTATATTTAAAGTTTAATTTGAGTAAGGCATTGCAAAAAAGATGACTATAAACATATTTCTACAATTTAAAATATAAAAAAAATTAATTGAAATTTTTTAGATATAAATCTTGAAAAAATGTGATCGTAGCCAAAAATGCCTGTCCCTTTCAAGTTTTATGTTATTTGACATCTTTGTTTTTTATCCTAATTTATTTTTTTAAATAAAGAAGTTTAATTACAAACTAATTGGGTGGTAAAATAATATCAAGGTAAACAGACTTGACATGAAGTAGAAGACAGATTATTTTTATTGATTTGCTAAATTTATATTTAAAAATTTTCAATTGATTTTTTTTATATTTTAAACTGTAGAAATATATTTATAGTCATGTTTATGCCACGCATTGCTAAAAAATTAACTTTAAATATTAATTTATCTTGAATTTTCTTTCTTTTCTTCTGGGATAGCATATGTAAGCAGAATTCAGAAATGGACCTGTTTCAATTAGAAAATTGTTCATGAAATCCAACGCAAATAATTATGAGAACACAAGGAAAAGGAAATGTGAAAAAATAATAATAGTTTTTAAATGGTATCGCTGCTAAAAAATGTGCATTAATTACTAATTTTATTTATTGAAATAGTTGACATTCTGTATCCTTAATTAGGAATGTTCATTATCTTCAGAGACATGCTCTACAAGCAATTAATATACTTTAATATATTTCAACTAATGATATATTTTTGTTTGCTACTTTTAAAAAAATACGATCCTATAAAAACTAATTTTAAAAAGTAACTCAAAATTTAATTAAACCTTACAAATAATAAAATTCTCATGTGACCTACTTTTGTATTAATACTAAAATAGAGAAAATTTCAAATGACTTTACAAATATTACAACATCAAATGTAATGTTGAACATTTGAAATCTATAGTTGTGCTTCGAGCACTTGAAAGGAGCCAAAGGCTATGGCAACCCTTCTTGATTTTTTTTTATGGTCGCGTGGAAGATAGTCGATAAAATTTGAATGCCAACAGGCACATAAAATTGTTTATGTTAATGTCACCATTTTACATTATAGTTTATAAGATATTTCTCCCACCTTCTTAGAGTGCCTTTGTGGTGTGGTAGGCTGCACGCCGGGCGCATATTCCAAAGGTCCATGGTTCAATTCCCGGCCAAAGTGTTGCTCATTTTTCATCTCTCCTGCTTCCAAAAAATACCTAATGTCTCTATAGTGGCGCCCGAACTAAAAGGGTGGTGGATGATGATTCTCCACACCCAGGATTTGGCGATTGGGTCCCCTAAAAACCCCAGTCGCCCTTTAAAAGGGGGGTATGTAAGGTATTTCTCCCATTTTCCTAGCATGTCTTCGCGGTGTGGTGGTCTGCACGCTGAGCGCGTATTCCAGAGGTCCGTGGTTCAATTTCCAGTGAAGGCGTTGCTCATTTTTGTCATTCATCTGTCCTGCTTCCAAATAAAATAACTAATGCCTATACAAGTTCTTTACATATTATATATAAGTGCACACATAATAAAGTTTTAAGAGCTACGGAATTTAATAAAGTTTAAAAAGAATATGAAGAATCCATTCATGAAACCTGAAATTGCTATTCATTTCGTGCAGTCAAATGGGGGGGCATCAATACTTCATTAAAGTGGTAAGTTCTTTATTTGAAATTTTAAGAATAAAGGCTTTGAATTAATAAACTAATAAGTTATTGATGATTTAATTAATAAGCTGTTGATGAATATTGATTAATGTATAGTGTTGTTATAATTTCCATTTTGATTTACTCAAAATATCATTTTAATGATCAATTTAAAATAGCAAAATTAGAAAAATATAAAAAATCAAGAACATTCGACTGGTAGCAACAAAATATATCAGTAAAATTAGTAACTTACTGAAAGATGAAACAACTGATATTCATATGAAATTATACATGATAGAAGATTTAAGAAATCAAATACTATAAAAATAAAATAGCTTAAAACCATTAGATAAACAGATACATATAAATATATCTAACTGATGCAAAGGATATAGAAAATGGACTTGCAGTGACCAAAAAATAAGCAAATGTTTCCAGGTTTCATTATAGAAAACAAAAGTAAGCAAAATAAAAAAAAAAATCTGATGAATCAGTCATGCAAACTGGTAATGAAATGAATTTTGCAAATAATTCTAATACACTAAACTTACCAAATTTGTTAACAACAAAACTTTGTAATGAAACCAGTAATGTTTTGGTAGTTTGAAACCATTTTAAAAATGCTAATCATAACAATGAAAATTTAAGTAAAATCAAGAAATTTATTTACTCGAAAATATTATTTGGTGGAGCTGCACTAAATTCTATTAGGAGTTCCTCCTTAAATTATGATCACTGCATTAAATTGTTGATCAAAAGATTTTGGAGAAGGGACATAATTATAAGCAATCACATGACAAAGTTACTGAATTTAAAACCCATAAAAAATTCTAACAGTGTTGTCACATTAAGGAATTTGTACAATAATCTTGAAACAAATATTAGGTCAATTGAAAGTTAAAAATAGAAACGGAAACTTAAGAAAAGTATTACACCAAATTTTTTTAATTATTTTCAAAAAATATGAATTTAGATTTCAGTCTAAAATGATCATCAAAAAAGAAATTTAATGCTCACAAAATATTAATATCCATTAAGTATGAAGTTGAATGCTGCAAGATTTCATCAATGTAGCAGAATTCTATGAGGGCAAAAAATACAAATTTCTCTAAATTTGTTCAACAGTCAAACAGCTGTACAGTTAAAGCTACAGAATATTTATTGGCACACCATTCAGCTTTCAAACTTAAGATAATACTTGCCAGTATTCTATAAAGTCATTGTATGATAGACATGTTTTTAAAATATATTTCACTATTAAATATGAAAGAGCAAAATACTAACTTCAAAAATCAATATGTTGTTTTTTAAGCAATGTCATAATTAAAAACATTATTGAAAGCAATATCCAAACAAAGATCAGAGACATTACAGCATGTTAAGAAATCCTTTTAACTCTTTCGCATCGAGAGACGACCAAATCTGTTTTCTACAAACATCGAAAACGCCCGTGTTTACGAATTTGTCTTGGAATAGTTTTCCTTTCCCCCTGCTATTTCATCCATTGTGTGCAGTTTCACTTTAGAGCCGGATTGCACCTGCGAACGTCAATAGCTTTCCGTATTTCTCCTTTATTTGCTTCAAAAGAATGATTGACATGTCTTTTAACAACTCGTGAAACCAATGAGCTATACACTAACATGGAGGGGAAAGAACTAGGTAGAAAATAAACGAGGCGTTGGGGTGGTTTGCCGTTGCCTGAATGAACGGGCGTTACGGGCGACTTCGATGCGAAAGAGTTAATCTGGATAACAGAAAAATATTGTGCTTGTGATCACTTATCAGATTTTGATAACCTGCGAAAAGGCAAAACCAATACCACAGGATATTTTGAAAAACAAGGCAGGAACAAATGAAGTTGGTGAAATGTTTCAGACCAGCTATGGCTGATTTGGTAATTTTAAAATCATTAATTGCATTTGTGTTGTGAGACATGGAGAGTGTTGTGAGACATGAAGAGAGCCAATGCTGATAAAGATGCCACTACGATGATTTATTTAAACAGTTTGGAGAATGTGTAAAGGTTGGGTTTTGTTTCCCAAACAAGATTTTCAATGGTCTGGAATGGTCAACATGTTTGAAATGAGTTTGACTCTTGAGGTTGCACTGATAATTGAGAATATTCCCACTCTTGGTAATTACTTGGGTCTGATAATGATGTGAAGAAGTTGTAGAGGGACACAAAGATATGCTGACCATTGAGGATCTGCAGGAACTTGAGAAGAAGGAGCACAAGATAGGTCCACTCTCATCAGGTTCAGAGGACAAGGAGGAAGCCCCTATTTCATTGGTGAAAAAGAAAAGTCTTTATTAAATGGATGGACGTCAAAAAATTTCTAGAGAATTTAAATCCCAACAAAGCTCAATCAAACCTTAACAGCATAGCCTGAGATGACTTAACAATATCACATTTCCAAAACATCCTACGGATAATCAAGAGCTAAAAACCTTTGGAAGATTTTTTGTAAATGCCAGATTTGGCAATCCTCAAGTAGGGATCTGACAGAAGAAAACAGACAAAAAAGAGGTAAATAAAATTGATAAATTTTCATTCATGTGCAGTATGTATTTCACCCACTGAATTTGTATTTTAGTGTCAAACAATGTGATAATAAATACAACAGGATTTTTTATAAGAATGAATGAATTATATTCCCTTTATTTCTTACTGGAAAAGTTTGCTTTGCCTATGTCCAGCTTAGTTAGTTATAAGTCTAAGGATGTGACTAAGGATTAATGACTTTTAACGGGAAGCCATTATACCAGTATTCAATCTTTAACACCTTGGCTAATAATAGAGCATAGCTACTGCTACAGTGCTAAACTTGGGTTAGGTGCCATCTGCTAAAATCATCATTGCTGCTGTATTAACTCTGCATATCTAATAATTCAAGGATCAGAGGCATTAAACTTAATAACAGAATGAATTCAAAATAAAAATCATACTAATGCAGCTTGAGATTTTCAAAGCTTTCTAAAACTCCAAAAGTTAATTTCTAAAAATAATGGAAGAATTTTATGTATGTATTCATTAATAATCTTACTAAAATAGCTTGATTTACAACTTCACTTTTATTGCAAAGGTCTTCGACACGTTCTTGTGCAGCAGGTAAATTAGAGCAATATTCACCATAGACAATAAATTTGTCCTTCCAGTGAAGAAAACATTCACTGATTTTATAATGGCTAGAGGTACATGCTTTATATAATTCACTGTGAAAACCTGTATGAATTTCGGCCAGTTCCTAAAAGTAAAATCAAATATTGAAAAATTAACAAAATTATACATAATTCATCTAAAAATTAAATATTAAGTAAAAATAAACAAAGAACATACCTTTATATTCATAAATATCACTTTTCGTACATCAGTTGTTAATACTGACTTCAGAGGCCTCATGAAATGCTAGAAATAATACAAATAATAATAACTCTTAATATTAATTCATTAGTGATAACTTATAAAGTGTCAAATATGAAGCACATAACCAGTACCTTTATAATCATATTCAGAGCTTCAATATAATTTTTTTCTGTTTCAATCAACTCTTTTATACAGTAATCCCTTTTTTCTACAGGATGCACAGTCTGAGATGCAGACACCTGAAATTAATGGAAACACAATAAGTGTTATTATTCATAATTTGAGAAGTACATAAAATTTACTACTCTATACAAAGAATTTACAAGCTATTCAGAACATTATTTTCTGAAATATGGCTTTTAAAATCAGCATTCACAAAAAAGAAACTCCCTTGTAATTAAATATGTTCTAATAATGTAACATTACAACATGGAAATCAAATGATCAAATTGTAATTTCATTTAATTCACAATACCTGAAATTTATTTTCACTTTTTTACATATTAATGTAAAAAAAAAAATTGAATGCAGTATTTTTTTTAAATTAAGTTTGAAGTCTTTTACCGCTGTTATCATTTATAACATTTAATACAGAAAACTCATTACGTACTTAAAATCACTTTCTGAAAACTATTCATAATTCCAGATACCACGTTTTCATTTAGATTAGTTAAAAAATTTTATGCATAAATTTTTTTAATACATTAAATACATGTGTCATTCTCATGACAATTAACATGAACATAAGAAAAAACAATACCTTATAAGCATTTAATGGAATTTAAAACAGCAACTTTATTTTTGCATAGATATGAAATAAAACTCTATTGAGTTTGAGAGCAATCACACACAAGTCCCTATTCTTCTTCAGGGTGAGAACCCATTCTTTTGGAAGAATTCCTGAAGGACAAACATCCATGACCTTGCACAGCTTCCTTAGATTTTAATGATTCATTTAAAATGGTATAAACGCTTTTTTTTTTTTTTTTTTTTTTTTTTTTTTTTTTTTAAATCAGTGAACCTTTTCTCAAAATAGTCCTCATGTAATCCATGGTATTACCCTTAAATAATAGATCAGCCACTCCATTCATTTTAGCTTATTGAGATGTCAGTGTTTAAGATGACCTGAATCTTTTCCTGCTTCTAATTAAATAAATTTTACTTACTTTATAAAAGCAAAATAAGTCTAATTTCTATTTCTTGAGAAAGTCCTTGATAATTACAGCTGACATTGATCCTTTGTGCTTTTTTTTATTTTAATTTATTTATTTAATTTCAATCCAAAGTTTGAGATTTAAGATCACAAATAAAGGATGAAAACTGTGATTCTAGTATAAACAGGTTACAAATATTTAAAAATTTCCATGAAACAGTTCGTAAGATTATTTCAGGAAAAGCAAAACAGACACAATTACCAAAGACAAATAGTTGCAAATGGCAATGATCTTATGAGAATATATATGTTTTTAAAACTTCTGCTCTAAAAAGTAAATAATATAAGGGAGCAAAACATGGTAAATAATAAATAATCATTTTTATTTTGCATGAAAAAAGATGATAAAGCAAACACAAACCTCTTGTCATACAGAAAGTTACAAAGCCAAGGTAATTTAAGATTTTAAACCTAGATAATCATCCTGTCTTACATAGGGATAATAAATAAAGCCTTTTTCATGAATGATTTGTGCAACTCAACCATGAAATGGTAGCTAAATATAGAAGATTAGATATAACTGCATTGCTCACAATTTCAATCCCAAGTAAATTTAACACATTGAGCGCCACGTCGGCCATCTGTGGCTGACACTAGATTTTCCATTTAGGCCGCGTCAGCCATCTGCGGCTGACACTAGATTTTCCGTTTAGACCACGTGAGCCATCTGTGGCTGACACTAGATTTTCCGTTTAGGCCGCGTGAGCCATCTGTGGCCGACACTAGAATTTTCGTTTAGGGCGTGTCAGACATCTGTGGCTGACACTAGATTTTCCGTTTAGGGTGCATCAGCTATCCTTGGCTGACACTAGATTTTCCGTTTAGCCATCTGTGGCTGCACTAAACTTTCCGTTTAGGTCGCGTCAGCCATTTGTGGCTGACACTAGACCTTTTCGTTCAGGCCACGTTGACCGCCGCTGGCTGACAGCGTGTTACATGACATATATAACTATAAAATTTACACTGTTTTTATGAAATTACACAAAATTTATTTTAAATTTACTTAATTTTGATTCATGACTTGATTTTGATTCATTGGATTTCATTGAAATACAGTAAACATAAAAACAGTTCTCCATTACAGCTATTACAAAATGTGACAACACTCTTTTAGTCTTTTTTTCTGGCCAATGCTCTACCAGCTTCTGTTGCATTTTTATCATAACATAATTTACAATATTTTCATACTTCAGAGGCTTTTCCCGGTTTCCTTCGAAGTTTATGTTGTCGTTTTCTAGATATTCTTGCATTTTTGTTCGATGGAATGTCTTCTTTTTCACATCTTGTTGCTATCTTCTACCGCGATACGAATCACTGGCCCTACAATACCAGCGCTTTTAAGCGAAGCGCATGGCCTGAACGGAATTGCCTAAAATATACGCATGGCGCTCAGCGTGTTAAAATATGTGGATCATATTGGAAGAGGGGGCCTTTTCTAATATTATCCACATATTTCAGCTTTTTAAATCAGAGTACCACTTTCAGATTTAAATGCTAGCTTAAAATGATACTGCATTTGTAGCTGTTGTGGTGGTTCATATTCACTTGTTTCACTTAATAAAAACAAGTCCATGAAAAGCAATCTACATAATAAAACCCTACAATAATTAAAATGCAAATATTGTTTCTAAAATTGTATGTACAATAAGAAAGAAAGTTTGCAAATTTTTAAATAACTTCAAACAATAAGGCAGATTTTTGTTCTAAGATGCATTACATATCCAAGATAACAGTTTTCATGTTGGGAGTTTAGAGAACTTGAGAATCTGGTTTCACATTTATTAATTTAAAGCATGGAAAAAGTAACATTGAAACTTTAGAAAAAATAGCTTATATGAAAAGTTTTATATCCATTTCAAAAGCTTAAAAAAAAGAGAGAGAGGCATATTCTGTAAAAGTACCTTTTTTTAAGCAAAAGGTTTATACAATATCCATAAATTTCAAAAGAAAATACCCTTACAAGAGAAAAATTTTTAGGTTACAGTGACTATTACCAATTCAAAACTTTTCTTTTCCCAACATATTATGGCATTATCATTGCACATACACCTGCTTCAAAAATGAGACAAATTAAAAGATTACATATAACAAAAGTTAACAGTAAATGTGAACTGCTTCTCAAAATCATTTACTATTCAAAATTTTATCTTTTTAATCAATTAATCAAAAATAGGTTAAAGATTTATCATACAATGATGAATTGCATCTTCTTAAATTAACATTTCTGAATAACAAAACTTTTAAAGCAACACTACACAGTTTTGAAATAATTAAATTAACTGTGAACACAACTGAATACACAGTAACCACACAGAAAACAAAAATTTACAATAATAAACAGGATTCCAAGCATTTGCAGAAAGCATAATGCAGCCATGCCCATGCACAGATGCTTAAGAACAAATATTTTACATTAAAATAATATAAGAAGAGCTAATGAAACTATATAACTGCAGTAACAATTTTAATGAAATAAGCCTTTCAGTTATTTCCATGAAAATCTCAGAATTGAGCACTGCAAAAGAAATTAATTACATACACAGCATATCAACGAAATTTTAGAGCTACAAAATTTGTGCAAAATCAAAAGTTTAAAAATTCAGTGTACTTCTTAGCTTTCAATAAGAAATCCCTGTATGTGTATACAATGCCTGGCATGTTTACACAGCTGTCCAATTTTTTCTGTAGAACTCCTCTATTGTAATATTGTTAAGTTTCTTACAGCATTTTAAATTTCTTCAGTGTCATTAAAATAATGATCTCTGAGGAGAAATTTTACTTTAGAGAAAGGGAATTAATTTGCAGATGTCAAATTCAGGTAAATAAAGGAAGAGTCAAGAATCACAATATTTTTATTTGCTAGAAACTGCTTGACGAGAATAGAACTATATGATGTGGTGCAGTAAAAACAATTATTCACTTGAAATTTTCAGATCTAATGCATTAAATCCTCTTCAAAAGTTCCTACATCCCACCTTTACAAAATACAGAATTTTATATACTTTAAATCTCTCAGGAACAAATTCCTCATGAATTATCCCTTTCCAATCAAGAGTTCACTAACATAGTCTTTACTCCAAATTTCCAAAAGCGAAGTTTCTATAGCCTTAGTGAACTCTCCCCAATCTTAGCAAATGATTTTCACCGTGTCTTAGGATTATAAACAAAGCACCAACTTTCATCTCCAGTTACAATTTGTTTCAAAAAGTCAATATTAATGTTAGCTATTTGGGTCAAATCATGACATGCAAAATTTGATTTTCTTCCAGTTCTGCAGCTAATGCGTGATCACTGTGCCATAAATTTTTAAAGATCTTTACTGATATTAAGCTCATTGACTATCATTCAAAGAGACAGGTGAGAATTTTTTAGCAATGCTTTTGAACTTATATGATGTTCTCATCTATTAAAGACTGCTCAAAGTGATTACTCCAGGGTTCATTATCATCTTTGCATCCACCATCAAATCACTCATGACCAAAGAAAAACACTGAATCATGTTAATATTCATATTCAATTCCTATATGCCTTCTACAACATTTCAAATGTCTCCATTAGTATTTTTTCCATTTTAAAGCAAAGACTTACAACTATTCAGATTTGAAATCTGTGACATGCTCCTTGATCTGAGCAAATGACTTGCTGCATAGAATGTTCTGTCTGCAAGTAGACAATATTTTAGCAAGCTGAGATGTCATAGCAATAAATGCCACCAGTTATTGTTTGACAGGTTTATTATATGATTATGGTTTGGCTGAAAATCATTAACAAATTAATGCTGATACTTTGTATATGTATTGTGTATGTATTATAAACAGTGCAACACTTTTAAAGTACTATTTTATTCTTCCTAAATATCATACCTGAACTATAAAATTTTATGTTTGTTTAAAAATGTTTAGAAATTATTTCCAAATTCATAAATTAAGGGAAAAATTCATGAATATGCTCATAAAAATACCTTTGAGGGTTTGTACTGAACAATATCTTCGTAAACATCATACGCTTCCTCACCATCTTCATTAGTTAGTGTATACGGCTGTTCCACATTTCTCGCGAAATCAGCTTCACTGCAGAGTAAAGAATCATGCACCACAAGCATATTAACCAAATACAATACCATGCAGATTCAAAATAATTTTAAAACAGCCTAAAAGTAAAGTGAGTACATTTTGTCATGCAATAAAAGCACAGCAAATAAAAGAAAGACAAATGCAAAAACAAATGTGAAAGATAGTTTAAATCATAATATAACCCCAAGGGGTTCTTACAAAGCCTCTTTCGCTTAAATAAGTACTATATAGCAGAGGTAAAAATTGGCAGCCAGTTGCACAAATGTTGGCTTGTATTCCATGAGAATTTTATAAAATAATTTTTTTATAAAATCTAAATTTTGGGGGGGGGGGCAAACTGGGATTGAAAGCACAACATGTGAACAGGATTATTTCTCAGCAACTACAGCCATGCAGTAAACCATGCTTAAGTGATTCACCACTGTAACTAAGATACCTCACGCATCCTAAGAGTAACATAGCAAAGATCCTCATAAATGTCTTCCTCTTTACTTCTGCGAGGACTAATAGGAAATTCAAGAGGAACCATTGTATCTTCTTCATTGTGGCTACAGGGTCACATATAAAGTTATTGTTAAACTTTTCTAACTAATAAATACATACCAAAATGAAAAACTTGTTGGTTTTTAATTCATAATTACTAGGTGGGAAATACACAGATGTCCAAAACTATCATCTTTACATGCATAAAAACATTGATTTCTCAAAAACTATAGCATTAAAACTGAATGAAATTTTTGAAGTGATGCACAACACCACGACACAAATATAAACTGAAAAATCAAATGTAAATGCACAGTACACAAAATTATATCATGAAATAAACAAAATTTATGTAATTAGTTACAGCAGAATTTTAGAGAAAAGCTAATACCTCAGAAAGAATTGTAGAATTTTGACATTAAGGAACATGATATCTCATATGCCTACAACTTATAATAATGTGATTTCAGATTCTTAATAATATCATTAATAACAATTTTGGATAATAATTCTCTTCAAAACATAGCGATTTCTAAAAGAAGTATTTTTTCCATGCAATCCACTCCCAAAGATGTCCTATAAACTTTCTACAGGATTAAAATCAGAAGATTTAGTGCCCACTTATGCTCAGTGTCAATTAATTAAGAAATTCATTAACTAGATTTGTTCAATGTAGATTTTCCATCTGCATGTACTTTTTAAATGCCACTTAGCCCGTACAGTAGTTAGTAGTGCTCACTGCATTATCAATGGGCCTGTGTTCAAATCACAGAGAAGGTAAGGATGCAAGTACAGTCAAAAGTCGTTAATTCGGACACCCATAATTCGGAATGATCTATAATCCGGACCTCAAAACTAAAAACTTTCTGCACATGCGCATAGGCGTTTATGCGTGCGCGTAAGACCTTTTACGACTGCACATATGAGTGTGCGCAAGTGCAGAATATGTTTTTCGCGTGCGCGTTTTATGTATAATGGACGTATAAGCTAAAATTATATAATTATCTATTTCAGTTAATGTTGATGATTGCATTGTTCCTTAATTTTCGAATTGGATCCGGCTTATTATTTTTTTGCAGACTGTAAGAGCAATTTTATAAAAGTAAGCTTAAACTTTCGATTATATCAAATAGAATTTGCAATATATATTTGTTAATATGTAAAGGATCTAAAGCGAAAGTATGTTTTGAAATCCGAAATCTGTTTATCAATTTCAGGCTGCTCGGCGGGGGGAACGCGGCGGCGGGCGCGTAATGAATTGGAAGTTGATCTATCAGCACTATCCTTATCTTCAGAGCAGATGTTTTTATTTTATTTGGCTTATAATTCCTTACCAAATGTAGTATTTCATCTCGATATGCTCCGTCTTTGATATGATTTAAAACAAGTTCCTCGTCATTATAATTCGCTTCCGATAGCAAAGAAAGTGACAGAGGTTATTGAAAACGAAAAAATTTTGATTGACAAATTAGTCGGTGTTCTCGACACAGCAATTATAGGACTTGAACAGCGGAACTTTGTAACTGAACAAGAAATTATGTCTGTTTAATAGAATTAAAGAGAAAGTATTATCACATGAAACGGAGCAAAACTTAAACAACTTACATTGAAAGAAATGTTTAATGAAGTAAACAAATAAATATTAAGCTTTTTCTTTTTGCAAATTTTGATACCCTTTAGATCATAATTGTTCTTTATTTCATAAATTACGGTTTCATATTTTTAATTTTAGAATTTCTGCATGCCATTTTACGAGATTTAAACTGATGATCTATAATACGGAAAAATCGATAATTTGGAATCGCCGAAGTCCCGACGAGTCCGGATTAACGACTTTTGACTGTATATAATGTTTATGTAACAGAGGGACACTTAAAATACATCATGAGACAAAAGGGACACTTAAAACACATGGTGAGACAAAGTTCTCTTGGGTGGAAGGTGGTAGAGGATTGGAAACTCTTGGGTTGCCCTCATCGGGATGTTCTCCTGTTATCATAAATATGCATTATTATTTCCCATTCTAATATGGATATATTCCCTAACACTGGTAGGAGTATTTCATTTCCTGGTTTCTTCTTGATATTTAAATGTTCAAAATAAGATGTTAAACTAAGACTTTACCTTTCACTCAGAGAATGCAAGCTAATATTGTAGATTCCAATTTTGATATTCAGTGCAACAATTCATATGGGCTTTTTGTGTGTGTGTGTTCAGTGGTTAATAAAACACTTTCTAGTTAGATATAAAATACCTTGAGAAGTGGCCTTTCCTTATGACAATAACTGGATTTTTAGTAAGAGTTTCTGAATCTTTGAACTGTTTCCAGATGGCATAGAATGCCTGCCTTAAAATATCTACCAGTTCATAACTACCCATCCTATTTATAAATTGCCAACAGGTCTTTGCTTCAAAAATTCAATCAAATAACAGTATGGTGTAAATAAAAAATTATTTTAAATCTGTAAACACAAAATCAATCTGTGAATTAACGTTATATAGAAATTTGCTTTGTATTTGCCACAAAAAAAATTTTCACGTTTTCACTACAAACTGATTATAATAAAATGGATAATGATAGTTTACCTTCTGATCGTTCACTGAAGAAATATATCAGATTGATCAGTTATTTTAAGAAATATCATTATTTTTAAGCATGTAAATATAATTTCAGACACCAGTGTAATTTTTCAAGCTGAAAAAGCCACCAAAGAAATCAAATGGCAGCTTTGTTTTAAATACTAATGGAAGCAGAAACTTATTACATATTTTCCTAAAAATCAGAATGCATTAATTGCATATCAAGAAAAATTTCTGAGAAGAAAAAGAAAACTATAACTTATGAAGATACAAGCAAATCAATCAGTTTTATTTTAATGTATTCTATAAAGTACCATTTTTGCTCAAACTTTTCATTTGTAATATTCATTGAAAACTACATAAATGTGTTAAAACTGCTTTTATGGTACTGATAAAAGCTAAGATTACAATTATACAACAGTACAAACACTAAACAAATAGAGTGTATAATCATGCAAAACTACACAATTAAAGAGTACCATCATATACTATGGAATTAAAAAGTAGAGATAAAGAAAATAAAAAAATTCTGACGTTGTATAGCCTTAATTACTAAAATATCAACTGACATAAATGAAAATTTCAGCAAATGACAAAAGTAGTACACTAGGCAGAAAGTTCAGAAAACAAATTGTATTTTAAATAAAATAAAAATGCAAAAGTGAATTAAAAAGCTATAATAATGAAGAATAATTTTGTTTAATTGGAAAGTTTATAGTACCATGCTTGCTTCACATGCTTAGACAGCACTATTATAAATACAGATTTTCTTAAAAAAAAAAAAAAAAAAAAAAAAAAAAAAAAAAAACTTTCAATCTATTTTAAATTGTTACCATATATTCAAGAATATAAACAGACCCATAAGTAAATTGAAAGTAAGATTTTGCTATAAAAAATGAGCCCAAATTGAAAACCGATGTAGAGTATAATTTAAAATCATTCAATCATAAATCTAGCCTTGTATACATCATCAAAAGTGCAAATACTTGGGCATCTAATTTAGGCAGACCTATCAGATGAGCTGAAGATGAATAAGCATTCAGCATCCATTTGAAAAATAAGAGATTATTATAGCATAAAAGGGTATTTAGTGTCAATAGTTTTTTTTTTTTTTTTTAGTTAATTTTCTCAACTCCAGGAATCATTTGGCCCTTTGAAAATAGTGCAATGAATTTTACTTAAGTTCTCAGTTATAGTAACCATTCTAAAGCAAGTCTAGCAATCATAAGACTTTTTCACTCAAATGACCTCTTTTATGGGTAAAAGGCAATTCTTCATTTCTACTTATACTGAAAGATGCTTGGATAGAAAAGAGTAGCGTGCTAATTTTAAGCCCAAAGTAATCAATTTTGCTTAACAACGCTATTAATGCAGCTGAAGACAGTATCATCTGCAAGGGGCATGACAAAATTGTTAAAGTTGAAACAGAAGACAATGATAGTCACTTGGACTTTCTGCTAAGTAGGTACAGATTTCTGAGAACTGCCAGAAAATTCAAAGTCAGTATGAGTTTTAAAACCAACATTGGCATTAAATGAATCTCAATATCATTAAAAAACATTATTTAAATTTTTTTATAAAATTATAAAAGGCTGTATCATATCAGAGAAGTATAATGTCTAGTAGAAGGAAATTCATCATTATTTAACTGCTACTAATATTAATTAGAATAATAATAATATAATTAAATTTTAGCAAATGTCTCAAATTGTCAACATCTGTTATATAAATAAATACACCCAAAAATAATATACAAAAAATAAGGAAAGCCTTATGGAATAAACTGTGTAATAATAAAAATAAGGAAATAATTTGATAAGACTAAAATATCTTACTTTGCAATTTCTTCTAAGTTTCGGTAAATTTCATCATTATAATAGTCATGATTCTTTATGACGGATGGAAAACCCCTGAAAAATTAACATAAATAATAGTTGATTAGCAGTGCAAATCAAAAATAAGTTATATTTAAAAAAAAAATCATTCATAAGAGTAAACATGTTTCCACAGAATAATGCCAAGAGCAAGTCCAAAAGTAAATGATTAACCTCACACTTTTCCTATTTTACCATTATTTGTAAATGTAACATTGTGTATGCACAGATATATAGATAATTACTTGTTTCACATTTTATTTACCACTAGCGTGTTATAATTTTAGTTGCATATAATGTAAATAAATACATCTTAAACTATATTTACTATTAGAATTACCATATTATATTAATTGCTTCTTATATGAGAATACTTATTTTGAGATCAAAAAATTCTGAAATATAATTTCACAAATACACAACATTACTAACACATTTTATCTGGGGGGGAGGGAAGTAAAAAAATTCATTTTAGCGTAATATTTAGAATTTTTTGATTAAAATTCTTATTAATCATAATATTTTGTCAATGATTTCACTTTTTACTAATATTCTTATTTTCAGTTGTTACCAACATAAAAAAAAATTTACTTGATAAGGCAGGAAGTTTAAATCAAATTTAATAACATAAGTGTGATTTAAACTGGCTGCTGATAAATAATAATAATATTTTTTCAAAAATCAGGTATAATCTAAAAAATATTCTCCAGTTTTCCTTTAAAAAAAAAGGAGGCCTAACCTATTGCAAAATCTAAATTAAAAAAATACAGAAAGAATGAATGAAGTACATTTCTTGAAATCCAAAATCTAAATTCGAAACGTTATATTAATATGCAAGTCTAGAGAAAGATAAAATTTGGAAGATAAAATTATAAATTCCATCCATAATAATAATAATAAAATAATCCAACCAGGCAAAAGAATAAAATCAAAATATTATTATTAATAACGGTACCTATTATCTAAGGGTTCATCCCGGCGGATGACCGCCCATTTCAGCATAGCCGCATTTTTGAAACCTGTCAGATGAACTGAAGAGAGAAAGCGTGAGGAGAAAATGCTGCTTTGTAGCTTGAATTAAAGGGCTCAGAGGAGCGAGGGGGAAAACGATTTTTTCCCCCTTGTAGTTAAGTCTCACTCACTGGGGGCCGCAACACCGCGTTGGCGCTTGGCACAGAAAGCTTGCCATATTTCCGTCATTCAACCGCACAGACAGAAAACATATCTCAATGAATTATTTTACACAATTTATTTTTTGAACATTTTTATCGTATATAAACATTTAAATTGCAATTTTTAATTTCCCTACGATAAAATAAAGCACTCGATACAATTTAACGCGTCTTGGTCCCATAGGAAATTTTACTTATTTATTTTTTTAACACGCTGATAAATTATAGATGATGCAGAAAGTTATCTTTTTAGTAAATGATTTTTCAATACATGTATTGCAAAACACAGAAAGACAAACTTTTTTATTTAAATTCGCTATAAAATTAAAACAAAATACATTTTTTAACAATTTTAATATTCTTTGTCATATGAGACTAAAAATTAAATCGTGCGACTGCTAACACTCATGTATTTAAATACAAAATAGTCAAAAAGCATTTAAATTGAACTGAATTTATCAGTCTTACATAATATTATTCCCACGCAATTATTTCCTCTGTTTCTTCCTCGTCCAATTCTTACAAGGGGGCCCCGCGATTTTATTTATAATAGGTAGCCAAAATTATTTTAAATGTTTTCTGTGAACTTTAACTAAAATTACATAATTAAAAAAAAATATGTAAGTGCAAACAGACCACATTTCAATGAGACAAAAATGCGACACTGGGATAGCGCACGCGAAATCAGGATTAATTATGATTAAAAAAAAAAGTACAAGAAAATGCTGCATAACATAAAAATGGTGACTTTACCATTACTTTCCAGTAGCAGAAACCATATCAAAATTTACATACTCTCACAAGTGAAACTTTACTTAGCCGTTTTGTACTATGAATACTTCTCTGAAGAAGATATCATACACGGTATTTTGGATTTTCCAAACCGAATTATTTACACTTCAACACAGTTACGTACCAAACTTTAGGATAGCTTTCAATGTACTAATGCTTCATTGGCAATACATAAAATAAAATATTCTTTCAATAAGTTGTTATTTCTTGGATTTCAAGAAAAAATAAATTATCTATAATATAGCAAAAATATCGTGAAAAATCACGGCGACTTTCGCTCATGTCAGGAAAATTCTATAGCTGGGTTTCAGACAATTCTCTTTTTTTTTTTTTTTTTTGGAAGCATTCAAGTGCCACATGATTTTTATAATTCTCTGTTTACAGCAGATACCAATACTATCGCAAAATAGAACTCCATAATTATCCTGGCATTCGTAATATTGGTACGCGATTGCAAGTTTACCTATTAAATAAAACCTTTTTAAAACTGTAAATCTTGGTTTATTACACCTCACCTCCGAAAGTTAAGCAAGGAGAGGAAAATGCTAATTTCCGGAAGCCAATCATAATTGAAGAAGATGCAATTCCCTGCAGAGATAGATGGAAGTATGCAAATATGTTAGGTAACAGCCAATCGCGCTTTCATGTCAAGAAATACGCAAAAAAGGCAGTTTTATAAGAAGCCAGCTTTATGAAGGGTTACAGAAGTTGATTGTAAGTGCTGATAGAAGGTGTTTAAAACTTTCGTACAATTTGTTTTCAAGACATAACGTGTTTCTATCACTTCCAGAAGACGAATGGAAGATTCTGAGCGCTGGCGTGCTGTGAGGCGCCAGCGCTCAGAATCTCAGTTGATCACAGATGATCACAGATGTTACTCTTTTCTTCGGCGTTCATCATTCTGTAATTTCACGTTTATGGAAACAATTCCAAACCATACAGACAGTTTCCCGAAGGCCCGTTGCCGGTCGCCCAAGGGTTACAACCCCCGCGGAAGATCGATATATTGTTATTGTAGCCAAGCGGAATCGCAGAGCGACCTCCACACATGTGACATCTATGATTACAGCGTCCATTGGTAAGGCGATATCTGCAGCTACTGTGCGCCGAAGATTACATATGAGTGGACTGTACGCCTGGGTACATCGAGTTTGTGTTCCTCTATCCGTCCAATCAAGAGGGGCACGATTACAGTGGTGCCAGGAGCATGTCAATTGGAATGTGTCTGACGGAATGTCATGTTTACTGATGAGTCAAGATTTGCTCTGGAGCCAGATGACAAGCGTATAAGGATATGGCGTGAACAACGAACACGCAATCAGTCCCAAAACATCACCGAACATCACGCATTCCGAGGCGGAGGCATTATGGTGTTTTCATTAGGATACCAGGGATTTCATTAGGATACCGCACCGACCTGCACATCTTTAAACGGGGTTTCTTTGACGGCTGTCCGGTATCGAGATGAAGTCCTAGAACCCATTGTGAGATTGTACGCTGCAGCAGTTGGCCCTACGTTTGTTTTAATGGACGATAACGCACGTTCCCATAAGAGCTGACATCGTCGATGACTACTGGAGAGTGAAGGGCCAACTGCTGCAGCATACAATCTCAGAATGGGTTCTAGGACTTCATCTCGATACTGGACAGCTGTCAAAGAACCCTGTTTAAAGATGTGCAGTATCCTAATGAAATCTCTGCCCACAACATAATGCTTCCGCCTCGGAATGTGTGATGTTTTTGGATTGTGCGTATGGCGTGGCCAGCATATTCACCTGACATTAATCCCATTGAAAATCTTTGGGATGCTCTTCGGCTGTGCTGTATCTTCACGTTTACCCCACCTCCAGCCACTCTTATTGAACTGGAAACTACTCTAAAGAAGAATGGCGATTGCTTAATACTGCGGTGATTGACCACCTAATTGAAAGCATGGTCACAAGGTGTAAACTTTGTATACAGATGATGGGGGGAGGGGATCACATACCCTATTAATGTCCTTTTTTTTTTTTTTTTTCATTTTATACTGTTTATTTTCACTTTATACATAATTCTGTTTAAGTTTCCAGTATGTCATTATCTGATAACTTACAAAAATTTAATATTGTTTTCATTTCTGTATATAATTATTGATTTTGTTCTATGCATAAATATATACGCTACTTTCCTGCCGAATTTTGTCCGAATCAAAGCAGTATTTGTTGATTTTTTTTGCATTTTACATCTTTGTGCTTAACGTTTGGAAATGAGTGTATATGACTTATTGTTACTACAGATGTATTTAAAGACTCTGTAATTGATTTCTGCGCCGGCGGACTTTCTCTTGCTACCAACGATTTAACTTTAGAAACGAATAAAGCTACCATTTTCATCAAAACGATAAAACAGCTAGATGTCGTGGAAAAAGAAAACAGTACTGTCTTATTTAAAAGGGGAGTACGGTCGGCTTAGATATATATATAATAATTTGTATATTGAGACAGATGTTAAAGACATAGCTACTGTCAAAACGTTAGCAGTTGTGCCGATTTAGTTCTTTCTTTCTTCAATTCTAGAGAAGTACTATCGTAATATGAATTCACATCTTAATGGGAGCATCTGCGCCGCTAATTTTGATCAAACTTTTGTCTTTCCTATAGCTTCAGACAACACAAATGATAGAAGACAGATAAGCAACCACATGTTCGCAATACATCATTTTATAGAGCTATATATTCATAATGCTAAATACATCATTTTTAAATTTAATTTATAACTATAACCATTATTACACACGTTTTTTCCCCCTTCTCCTTAACCGGCCGTTTGCTTATCTGGCCTGATGTGCGTAAGAGTCCACCATGCATCTACTATGTTGTGAAAGGTATTAACACTAATCTCAGGAAGATAATATCTTTTGATAAGTATCCATAGCCTCTGATCACGGTTCAATAATGGACGTACTGGTTGCTGGATGAAATACAACCTAATACGCATTAAGGGAACACTTATACTGCATATTGCACAATTTTATTGGTTAAAAAAAAAAAAAAATATTATTTTGAGCTTCGATATTTTATTACAACATCAGTT